GTCCCATAGGTTCTGGTAGGTTGTGTTTTCATGTTCATTCACTTCCAGGAACTTTTTAATTTCCTCTTTTATTTCATCAGTGACCCATTGTTCATTAAATAATGAGTTATTTAGTTTCCAGCTGTTTGCATGTTTTTTGTCTTTACTTTTGTTGTTGAGTTCTAGTTTTATTGCATTGTGGTCAGATACTATGCATGGTATGATTTCTGTTTTCTTTTATTTGCTGAGGCTTGCTGTGTGCCCTAGGATATGATCTATTTTGGAGAAGGTTCCATGGGCTGCTGAGAAGAATGTATATTGTGTAGAAGTTGGATGAAATGTTCTGTAGACATCAAGTAGGTCCATTTGATCTATTGTATATTTTAGATCTTGGATTTCTTTATTGATTTTTTGTTTGGATGACCTATCTATTGATGATAATGGGGTGTTAAAGTCTCCCACAACCACTGTGTTGGAGTTAATATATGCTTTTAGGTCTTTCAGGGTATGTTTGATGAAATTGGGTGCATTGACATTGGGTGCATATAGGTTGATAATTGTTATTTTCTTTTGGTCAATTTCCCCTTTTATTAGTATGGAATGTCCTTTATCTCATTTGATCAATGTAGGTTTGAAGTCTACTTTGTCAGAGATAAGTATTGCTACTCCTGCCTGTTTTGGGGGCCATTGGCTTGGTAAATCTTCTTCCAGCCTTTCATCCTAAGCCTATGCTTATTTCTGTCAGTGAGATGGGTCTCCTGTAAGCAACAAATTGTTGGATCTTCCTTTTTAATCCATTTGTCAAATGGTGCCTTTTGATGGGTGAATTAAGTCCATTAACATTAAGTGTTAGTATTGATAGGTATGTGGTGATTCCTGTCATTTAGTTGTCTTAGTTGTTTGAAGGTTTCATTGTGTGTACCTAAGTTGAGGTTACTCTCTACTTGCTTTTTCTTTTCCTGTAGTTTGGTGCTGCTGCCTTTCATGGTTAAGTTGGGTTTCACTTTCTGTGTGCAGAATCCCTTGAAGAATCTTTTGTAGTGGTGGCTTTGTGGTCACATATTGTTTTAGTTTCTGCTTATCATGGAAGACTTTTATTGCTCCATCTATTTTGAATGATAGTTTTGCTGGGTAGAGTATCCTGGGGTTGAAGTTATTTTCATTCAGTGCCCGGAAGATCTCACCCCAAGCTCTTCTTGCTTTTAATGTTTCTGTTGAGAAGTCTGCTGTGATTTTGATGGGTTTACCTTTGTATGTTATTTGTTTTTTCTCTCTTACAGCCTTCAATATTCTTTCCCTAGTTTCTGAACTTGTTGTTTTAATGATGATATGCCGTGGGGTAGTTCTATTTTGATCTGGTCTGTTTGGTGTTCTGGAGGCCTCTTGCATCTGTATGGGAATAGCTTTCTCTAGATTTGGGAAATTTTCTGTTATTATTTTGTTGAATTCACTTCGCTTGCACCTCTTCTCCTTCTTCAATGCCCATGATTCTCAGGTTTGGTCTTTTGATGGAGTCAGTGAGTTCTTGCATTTTCTTTTCACAGGTCTTGAGTTGTTTAACTAATAGTTCTTCAGTTTTTCCTTTAATTACCATTTCATCTTCGAGTTCTGAGATTCTGTCTTCTGTTTGTTCTATTCTGCTGGATTGGCCTTCCATTTTGTTTTGCAATTCTGTTTTGTTCTTTTTTCTGAGGTTTTCCATATCCTGGGTCGTTTCCTCTTTAATGTTGTCTATTTTTGTCCTGAGTTCATTTATCTCTTTATTAATTGTGTTCTTTGTTTCACTTTGGTGTTTATACAGTGCTTCTATGGTTTCTTTTATTTCTTCTTTTGCTTTTTCAAATTCTCTATTTTTGTTGTCTTGGAATTTCTTGAGTGTCTCCTGTACATTTTGGTTGACCCTATCCAGTATCATCTCTATAAAATTCTTGTTGAGTACCTGTAGTATTTCTTCTTTTAGATTATTCTTGTGGGCTTCATTGGGTTCTTTGGCATAGTTTATCTTCATTTTGTTGGAGTCTGGATCTGAGTATCTGTTTTCTTCATTTCCCTCTGGTTCCTGTACTAATTTTTTGCTGTGGGGAAACTGGTTTCCCTGTTTTTTCTGTCTTCCTGTCATTGCCCTTGGTGTTGTTATTGTCCCTGTACTGTGTGCAATTAAGTATTTTCTAGCTTGTAATAATAGCACTGGTGATATTTAGAATGGAAGGGTGAGAGGAGATGGGAAGCAAAGAAGTTAAAGGAAAAGGGAAAAACAAGCAAGTAGAAAAAAACTAAACAAAGAAACAAACAAAAAAAGTTTCAAAGATATAAACAGGGAGAGACAGCATACTAATCAACCGTAAGCTGAAAAGGCATTAGAGAAACAGAGAGAGGATTGAAAATAAAAAAATAAATAAAATAAAATAAAAATAAAAATAAAAAATAAATAAATGAAAAAAATATATATATAAAATCTCCAAGTGCAAATGCAATAAAGCTTCAGCCTTAATAATTTTGGTGTTCATCCCTCAGCGACCAATCCTGGAGATGGTGCCTCAGAAGTAGTTCTGTGGTTGTCTCATCAAAGGGGAAAAAGAGTGGAAAAACCAAAATAAAACAAAATTGCACAAAACAAAATAAAACCCCACAAAGTGTCCCAAGTTCAAATGCAATACAGTTTCAGTAAGTTTTTCGGCATGCAAGTGTAGTTTGGTTGTTGTCTCATCAAAGGTAGGGAGAGAAAAAAAAAAAAAAAAGAGTCTGGAGACAGTTCTGTGAATGGCTATCTGTGGCTGTGGCTCACCTGCCCACTGCTGTCAGCCTGCTGTTGCTGGAGGCTTTATTTATGCAGATCTCAGGGGTGAGCTTAACACTAACCTGGCCCTGGAGGCTTTGCTTACTCAAAGTTCTCCTGTGAGCGAGCCACTACTACAAGCTTTCCCCTTTCCAAACACACTGGGGGAGGTGACACTGCACCCGCTTTCTTCAGGCTAGCGTGTTTTATTTACAGCCCACAGGGAAGTGGGCCTTCCCCCCTCTCCTGTGGAGTTTTCCTCCCACCACTGCTTTTACAAGCTTTCCTGCTTCTGGTTGCTGGGCATGTGCTGCTGCTCCTGCCTTCTCCAGCCCAGCTTGTTTGTTTACAGCTCATATGGGAAGTGGGTCTTCCCACCTCTCCTGTGGAGTTTTCCTCTCTCCACCACTTTTACAAACTTTCCCGCTCCTGGTTGCTGAGCGTGGGCCACCACTCCTGCCTTCTCCAGCCCGGCTTGTTTATTTACAGTTCTGTGAGGGATTCCCCTCCCCCCCTTCAGTGCTCAGGGTGCCCCACCCTCTTTGCTAAGTGTCTTTTTTGTTGTTATTGCTTATATTACTCAGTTTCTCTTTTTTCCCTGGGTAGGGGTTGGTCTTTCCAGGGGGCTATGCTGATCTGGCCCAGGGTTGTCTGTGGGAGTACTGTGTACTGCTTAGCTTACTTTGTCCGGTCTTCCCAAGCCGTCTGGACGCTGGCGTCTGGCGGCGGCACAGGAGCCCTCCTGGTTTCTCCGTTTAACGTGAAGTGGAGATGCTCTGTGCAGGCTGGAGGTGTAGAGGAGTCAAAGTTTTGCCTCTTCTCAGTGGTTTTTCCTGTAAGGTGTGTCTCCAGTGTCTCTCCCAAGATTTTACTTTAGGAGTCATGCTTTCTGCTTCTTCCCTCTAGCCACCATCTTGAATTTTCCCTCATAACTTTATGTCATGAGATGTCCCCATATACTCCTAGAAATATCAGAATGTGGCACTAGGTTGGAAGATGGCTGGAGGGTCTCTGTTTAGAACAGGAAAGTAAGGTTCAGATAGAAACTAGTGCTGTTTTTACTGCTAATATGACTTCATAAATATTTGCAGAATGGGTTGTGTGAACAGACCAGCTTTAACTTTCTTAGATAAGCACTCCTTAGTCATAGATCTGATTGACTGGTTTTCCTTAGTATGTCATGGAAAGCTTTTATTTATGAGATTGTCAGAAACTCAGGTTCAGATAATCTTTTAAGCTAGTTTATATCTCAAGTTCTCTTTTGACATATCCATTTAGTACTAGTCAAATGAATGTTCCCTGCCTGCTCGCCTTACACCATGTATTTATTAGGCACATGCATACCACTTATAGAGATACCATTGCCTGAAACGACATATTGTTCCTCTCATGACATTCTACCATCACATCACTGAAAGACTGTCCCCATTGCCCCTATCACCACCACCCAAGGTGGCTTTTACATTGGAGTTTGGCTTTTTTGAGTAACCCATTGTCTGAGCATATATTTTTATTTTTTATTTTTTCACTCAGGAGCTTACTGGAGAAAGGGGGGAGGTTTATGTTCCCTTCCACAGCTCAGAAACTGTTAAAGATCTCGCAGTTAGCCAAGATTCTAAAGTAACCCAAACACAACAGGGAGAAGTAAAAAGGAAAAATTTAGACCAGCAATTAACTATTAGCAGTAGTGTTTCTTAATATGTAAGATATATCTTCTCAACAAAATACTTTGCTGTATAATTGTCACTATAATTAACTTTATGTACATATCTTTATAATGTTAGGATCAGGGTTGGTTTCATTTTCAGGCGTTGTAGGCCATCTCCATTCCCCACATGAGAGTCTCTGAGGGAAGAACTGGAGATTTGCAAGTTAAAATGATGCAGAGAAACAGAAGACCAGAGTTAGCCAAAGTCCAATGCTTTTATTTCTTTAAACTGTTGCTGCTATTTTGAAGCACAGATTTTTTTCCTCCATTGATTAAACTAGTCTTTTTCCAAAGTGTAAGTCATTATAATATAACTGTTTCAGAATATTTGGCTACTGCTCAGTGTAATATTAAAATTTATTGAGCTTTTTTCTGTGTTCCAGGACTATGTTACATTCTTTATAGGCATAGTACAGTGAAGAGCTAAAGGTTAAAATGTGTTTGATGAACCCAATTATAACTTAATGGTTGATTATAGTAACTGTCTAGTTTCATTTATATAACTTTCAGACATTTTTCCTTTATTTTTCTTTTCAGATTCATGTATTGATGATCAAGAAGTAATGTTTGTAAATGATTTGATGACCTATAAAAGTCACCTACCAACTTTGAATCCTCTTTTGAGTAGACAAAAACCACATTTAGTAAAGGACCCCCTTTTAGATATCAAAGGACAGATCTGCAATGAAGCTAATTTTTTTAGGTATGTAATTGCCTAATGCTGTAATCTTTTTGACAGTACTAGGGATTGAATTTAAGGCATTGCACTTGGTATGCAGGCAGTTTGCCACCGAAGCCACTCTACCAGCCCTTTCTGCGTTGGTTATTTTTGAGATGGGGTCTAGCTTTATTCCTAGACTAGCCTGGTCCTTGAACCTCCTATTTGTGCTTCCACATGTAGCTGAAATGACAGGCCCAGACCACTGCAGCCAAACATTGGTTGAGATGATGTCTTGTGAACTTACTGCCCTGCTGGCCTCCAACTCCAGTCCTACTGATCTCTTTCTCCCAAGTAGTTAGGATTAGAGACCACAGCACCCAGTCCAATGCTATAAATATTTTAATAGAAGAAAATATTCTTTGTACAATCACAAGTTTAGATGTTAACCTCTACTTTTATTTTAATCATCGTGTGTCTTGATTGGCTCTATTTGTTTTTTAATTTGCTTTAGTAAGCACTAAATAATGTTTATTTATTGTTTTAAGGGAATGTTTCTCTTTTCAAGAAGATTTGGAAAGTTTTGTGAAAGAAGATTCTTACATGGATAACGAAAAATTTTGTCTGGAGAAACTAGTAGGTTTAAATGAAGTAAAGAAACATGCTTCTATAAATTTTAGTAATTTACATTGTTTACAGTTGTCATTTTAAAAAGATTTGACAATGGGTTGAATATGTATCAGTTAAGGAATCAAATTTACTTCTAAATAGTGATTCTTGTAAAGATCAGTTAGAGTTGAATCAACATGGGTTGTAACACATGGGTACATGAAAGCAATAATAGGAATCTTTCTGTATAGCTATGCTTAACTCAACTAGCAAAAACACTTTGTCTTTCTTATTATGCATATGTCCTTTCTTCAACAAAATCAGTGATAAGGGCAGAATGGGACCTGCCTGAAACTGAGGAGAGGAGGAGGGGAAGGGTGGTGGAGGGGGGCAGGGTGGAGAAATGACCCAAACAATGTATGCACATGTGAATAAATAAACAAAAAAAAAAGTGGTTCTTGGCCTTAGCTGAACATGGGAATTACCTTAAGAATTAAAATAAAAAGGTTGAAGCCTGGGTCCTACCCAAACATTTTTATTTAATTGGTCCAATGTGCAGCCCAGGTGTAGAGAATTTTTAAACTCTCTCTCATAATTCTAAGGAAATTAAATAGTCGTATCTAATTTAAAAATTGGAAACTGGAGCTAGAAATGTTGATTTGTGAGTTATGTACAAAGCAGATTGTACTTAAGTTAGAAGAGAAGTGATTTCATTGGGGAACTAAGAATATAGATTGTCTAAAACTGAATTTTAAGTGCTGCCAGTGTATAATAAGGAAAACAGCATCTTTGCATATTAAAGGTGAAACTTCTCAAATATAGCCTCTACCCCCCCTTTTTTTGGCTGTACTAGGGCTTGAACTAGGGGCCTTTTGCTGGATAGGTGCTCTACTACTTGAACCATACCCCCAGAAACCCTGCTTTTTTTAGCATACAATTCTAGTAGCTCATAAAGTTGTTATGGTATTAGTAGATAAAGAATTCTAGCAATTGGGGCCACAAATTGCAGTTAAACAAACTTGAAAATTTAGACCCATATAAAATAGATTCATTCACTACTTAAAAAAATTTTTAGAACTAAAAATGTTTTATATTTGGGGCTTTTAATACATTCAAAGGACATACATATAATTCACTTAAGGCATTTAAAGGGCTTCGTTATAGTTAAAGTTGTAACATATTTGGGGAAAATACTGATTTGACTATTGGCCTCTCCTGTAGTCCTCCTTCCTTTCCCCTGTTAATCGTGAGAGTGGCACACAGTCAGTCATTCCCATGTGTTGAGGATTCTAGTCTGTAGGGATGAAAAAAAAGCATATTCCATGGGGTACAATAAATATTAATTCAGTTCCATTATATCTTTTCATTTCTCCCCATTTTCCATCTCTCATTTGCTGTAGTGATTGTTTTTAATTTAGAATTTTAAACTTTTGCTGTTAGCCAAAAAGAAGCTACTTCTACAGCTAGAGCTACTGTACTTAGATAATGAGTAACCATAGAAGACATTACTGAAAGAGAACATTGCTTGTAATAAGAATATATTTTGGTTGCTACACTTCCCTGTTTTTTAAAAGTATGTGTAGCATTTAAAAATTGAGTGTGCGAGCTGGGTGCCAGTGGTGCATGCTTGTAATCCCAGCTACTTGGGAACCTGAGATCTTGAGGATCACAGTTTTAGGCCAGCCTGAACAAATAGTTCATGAGGCCCCATTTCTAAAATACTAGAGCAAAATTGGCTAGAGGTGTGGTTCAGTGGTAGAGTGCCTGTTTTATAAGCCTGAAATCCTAGGTTCAAACCCCAGTCCCATCCCCTCAAAAAAATTTGAATGTGAACTTAAAGTTTAGTATGTGAACTAGAGGTGTATGCTCTGCAAGCATGAAGCCCTGAGTTCAAACCCCAATCCCACCAAAAATAAATAAATAAATAATGCGAAATTTCATATGCTATGTAAGCAAAAACATACTAACTTATGAATTCAAAAATATTTACTTGGAAAACCTCCCTAAGTACTTCTTTTAATTTTATATTATTTCAGCCGTCAACTTTTCCTTCTGAGTTTGAATTCTTAATGTCTACAAGCCTCAAACAAGAAATTGATATTCCATCACTCTCAGAACCGAAGCCATCATTAAACTTAATGCCAGAAATCATATATTATGTAAATGAAAATGAAAAACTTTTCAAAAGAGGTGAGAATTACTTTTAAAATGTATTTCTTATAAAAATCATTTACTCTTATTTACTAAAATACTTTTGTAAAAAGATTTTATAAAAATTTTTAAGTGTCAGAATTGTTATTGATCAGACTCTTTTAATATTGTTATTCTTTTCTTCCCCTAATACCAGAGATTGAACCCAGAACCACGTGCGTGCTAGGCAAGTGCTCTACCACTGAGCCATATCTCTAGCCTTGTCATTCTCTTTATACTACTTTCAAACTTAAAGCTGCTCTAAAATTGATCTAACTTTTTCAAAATAATTATACAAATAAAGCTAAAACACCTGTGACTTATACTGATTTTTGAATAATTGTTTTCTTATGTATAATGAAAGCTCTCGACTTCTGTATTAGGCCTTGGTTAACTATGGAGCTACTCACAAGGAAGATGCTCAGAATAAAGATTTGTGGAATCAGATGACTGAAAGAGTCATAAACTATAATTTAGATTTCATCCCAGTTAGTCTTAGTAAATATTTTTAATATTATTTTTAATGACAATTTGAACCCAAATAAATTCCATTTGAGATTAAAGATATATACCATCTGGAAGGAATATAAGGAGAATCTGTGATATCCACTGAGAACAGGAATAGTTGCCACCAACTAACTATAAGAATTCTTGCAGATAAAACTAAATCCAGTCCAGTATGATCATGCGTGCCTGTAATCCCAAATACTCGGGAGGTGGAAGCAGGAGAATTATGAGCTGAGGCCAGTCTGGGCAAAGTTAGCAAGACCCTATCTCAGAAACAAAATATAAATAAAAGGGCTGTGGATATGACTCAAGATGTGGAATGCTTGCCTCACACATGTGAGGCCCTGGGTTCAATCCCCAGGACCACACACACACACACACACACACACACACACACACACAAAAGAAAGATGAAATTAAAGGAGTTATTAGCCTGTAAATCAAAGAAAAGGAATGCAAAGCTAACTAAATAAGTGGATCAAATCCATACCAAAACTTGAAAATATGTCAGAGTTCAAAACTGCAGGATGGGCTGTGTGCCAATGGCTCACACCTGTAATCTTAGCTATTTGGGAAGCTGAGACAGGAAGGATCGAGGTTTGAGGCCAGCCCAGGCAAATAGTTCCAGAGACCCCATCTCCAAAATAACCAGAGCACAATGGACTGGAGGTGTGACTCAAGTGGTAGAGCACCTGCTTTGTAAGAGTGAAGCCTGAGTTCAAACCCCAGTCTCATCAAAAAAATAAAGAAAAAAGAAAACCAAAACTGCAGGGTGGACCATAGGCTTTTTAGCAGGACACAAATCTATGTTAATAGAACAAGTGACTTTACTGAGTAACTATACTGTCATATTCCCAGCCTTCACTAGGCTCAGATGTTATATTAAGAACAGAGAAATTGCCAGAGACCCTCTAACAAGAAAAGTTATATAAGCCAGTAAAAGGACAGGGGATGGGCAGAGTTCCAGGTACCTTTGGGTTGAGTCAGCAACACAGATTAACTGCTTAGTACAGCAGTGAAGTTGCCCATTACAAGGATATCTATTTCCCATGGTCAAATGATAAATAAAATTATCTTAATAAAAATGGAATCACTTCATATATGGTCTTTCTGTGACTGGCTTTTTTCACTTAGCATAATATTTTAAGTTTATTTATATTATAGCATGTTATCAGTACTTCATTCCTTTTTATAGCCTAATAATAATACATTGTAGGAATGTATCACATTTTGTTTTCCATACATCTATTCATGGATGTTTGGGTTGTTTCTTCCCTTTAGCTATTACAAATAATCCTCCTTTGAACATTCATGTACAGGTTTTTGTGCACACATATATTTTCATTTTCTTGGGTATTTGCCTAGAAGTGGAATTGCTGGATCGTATAGTAACTCTGTGTTTAATTTTTTTGAGGAATTGGCAGAATGTTTTCTGAAGTGGCTACACATTTTTTCATTCCCATCAGTAATGTATGATGGGTTCTAATTACCCATTTCCTTGCCAAAACTCATTAGCTAACTTTTTCATAGCTCTCTAGTGGTGTGAAGCAGCGTCTCACCGTGCCTTTGATTTGCATTTCCCAGATGGCTAACGATGTTGGGAATCTTTTTTTTTTTTTTGGTGGTTCCGGAGTTTGAACTCAGGACTCATGCTTGCTAAGTAGGCACTCTACAACTTAATCCACTCCACCAGCCCTTTTTTTGTGTTGGGTATTTTCAGGATAAGTTCTCACTTTCATTTTGCCCAGGCTGTTTTGTACCATGATCCTTGAATGTCTGCCTCCTGAGTAGCTAGAATTGTACATGTGAGCCATCGGTGTCTGGCTATGCTGAGGATTTTTCCATGTACTTATTGATCATTTTTATATCTTCTTTGGAGGAATGTCTGCTTATATTCTTTGCCCCATTTTTAATTGGGTTATTTTTCTGTTTTATTCAACTACTTAAATTTTTAAGGAAATTTTTTAGAAAAAATTATATATATTTAAGGTATGAATCATGATTTTTTGATATATGTATACATAGTGAAGTTATTACCACAAGCAGGCTAATTAACATAGCCATCACCTCATGTCATAACATTTTTATGAGTGTGAGAATCCCTACAATATGCTTTCTTAGCAATTTCAAGTGTACATCATTAATTGTAGTCACTATGCTCTAAATTCTTACATAAACTTTACATCTTCTAATTGAGTTTGCTCCTTTAACCATTATCCTCTCCTTTCCCCACCACTAGCTCCTACAACCACCTTTCTAATCTGTTTCTGTGAGTTCAGCTTTTTTACACACCACATATGAATGAGATGACAGTATTCATATTTCACTGTCAGCCCTGTTTCGTTCAGCCTAATGTCTCCCAGTTCATCCGTGTTGTCACAAATGGCAGGATTTCCTTCTTTTTATGGCTGAATAATATTCCATTACATGTGCACATGCACTCCTTAACTCATGATGGGATTCTGATAAGCCCACCATAAGTTGAAAATATTTTAAGTGGAAAATGCATTTAATATACCCAGTTACCAAACAGAGTAGCTTAGCAACACAGTATACTGTATTGTATTTGTTTACCTTCATAAATCACATGGCTGAGAGTTGTAGCTTAACGCCACTGCCCTGAATCCTGACAGAGTCTCCTACCACACATCACTAACCAATGAAAAGATAAAAATTCAAAGTACAGTTTCTACTGAACGTGTATCATTTTCACACAAGTTGAAATAATAACTGGATCATGTGAGCTCGGAGTTGTCTACATTTCCATTATCTGTCATCCACTGACAGACTCCTTGGTTGGTCTCATATCTTGCTAATGTGAATGCTGCAGTGAATATGGAAGTCAGCATATGTCTTTGAGATAGTGATCTTATTTCCTCTGGCTGTATATGCCCAGAAGTAGGATTCCTAGATCTTACTGTAGTTCTGTCTTAATCTTTTGAAGAACTTCCACAGTGTTTTCCACAATGGCTATACTAGTTTACATTCCTACACACAATATGTGTGTTCCCTTTATTTTTTGGATTATCATTAGCATATAGAAACAAACTGATTTTTTTAATTTTTGAGTTTGTATCCTGCAATTTTCCTGAATGCCTTTAGTAGTTCTAAATTTTTTGGCAGAGTCTTTAAGGTTTTTTATATATATATATAAATCACAATGTCTGCAAAGAATTTAACTTCTTCCTTTCCAACTTGGAGGCCTTTTGTTTCTTTTTCTTACCTCATACTCTGGCAGTACTTTTAGTGCTATGTTGAATAGAAGTGATGAAAGTGGACATCCCTTTTCTTGTTCCTGATCTTAGAGGAAAAATTTTCAACTTTGCATTGTCAAGTATGATGTTAGACTGTGGGATTTTCATAGGTGGCTTTTACTTGTTAAGTACATTCCTCTGTATCTAGTTTGTTGAGCGTTCTTGTCATGAAAGGGCATTAAATTTTGGCAAATGTCTTTTCTGTACTCTTGACATGATTGTATGGTTCTTGTTCTTCATTCTGCTAATGTGTTGTATCACATTTGATTTGTGTGTACTGAACCATCCTTGCATCTCAGGGCAAAACCTCACTTGATCCATGGTATACAATCTTTTTAATGTGCTGTCAAATTCAGTTTTATAATGTTTTGTTGAAGATTTAAACATTTTTATCTTTTGTATTTGGATAATCATGGGACTAAAATCTTCCTGTTGATACAGTGCATTACATTAACTATATTTGAGGTATTAAATCAACTGTGTATTACTGTACTAAATCCTACTGTGGTTACTAGGTTATTGATTTTCATGTCTATACCTATAAGAAGTATTGGTCTGTATTTTCTTTTGATGTCTTTGGTTTGGATATCAGGAAAATACTGGTTTCATATGATGACTTGAAGATCATTTACTCTTCTATTTTTAGGATTGACTGAATAATTGATGTTAATTTTTCTTTAAATGTTTAGTAGAACTCATCCACTGAAAGCAACTGAGCCAAAGGCATTGCTTTCTGAGTAGTTGATTACTACAGAATTCTATTTAATTACAAAAATGCCAAGATTTATAGTTAAAAAGTTAGATGGATAAATTGTCCCACAGATTACTAAATCTGTTAATTTGTATGGAGTCTTTTTCTTGTTGCTTTTTGGATAGGGTAATTTCTATTGCTCTGTTTTCAATTCATTGACTCACGTTACCTCTAATTTTCTGTTAAGCTCATCCAGTGAGTTTTTTATTTCATATATTCATTCTTAGAATTTCCATTTGTTCTTTTTTATAGTTTCTCTTTCTTTTCTGAGGGTTTTTTGCCCCTTCATTATAACAGCATTTTATATTCATTAATATAATGGTTACTGTGTGATGTTACTACTGCTTTAAAATCTTTGTATACTAATTTTAAAATCTGAGTCATTTCCTGGTTAATGTTCAGTGACATATTTTTATTGATATGAGTCCCCTTTTCCTGTTTGTTCATTTTACTAAACATACCTAGATTGTATCCTGACATTGCACCTTGATACATTACTGAAATTGTATTCTGCAGTGTTCCTCTGAAAAAACTTGATTTTTTGTTGTTGTTTGTTTGCTTGCTTGTTGTAGTAGGCTGTTAACTTGGCTGAACTCAAACTACAAAATTTTTCTCCTCTGTGGTGGGAAGAAGCTGAAATCTCTAGTATGTATTTTTAGCCCTAACCTGATGTTCTTGGAGTCTTCCGCAAACATGTGCAGTTCAGTGATCAGCTAGAGATTTAGGTAGTTTATATAAAGTTTGAGGCTTCTTCTCTGTTACTCTCTCCTTTCCTGAATTCCCCCCTTCACTTTCCAGCTGCTGTGGTAACCACAAACTCTTGTTCAGGTACAACTGTCTTCTAGTTCAAGACAATAAGAACTCAAATTTTTATCCAAGTTTAGTTGCCCTAGTCAGTACCAACTAGGTCCTCTCTTAAAGTGAAAAGCTGTAAAAATGGGAAAATCACTCTGGCAATTCCCTTCCAGTTTCTGCCTGCTTTAGATTGTGGTATCTCTTGATGGTCATTTTATACATTTGTTCAGTTAGACATTTTATCTGCAGGAGGACTGGTCCAATAGGAGCTATTGTAGAAGCAAAGTTCCCTTCATACTGTTTTATATATTATACTTCAACTTTTTATATCCTAGATTTCTCTTAACTCTGGCCCACAAATGAGTTTTCCTTCTCTTTGTCCTTATTTCACTTTTAAGTCTACTTACTGTCATTCTAATAGGATTTAGAAGAGAAAAGTAATATGCATGTTTTATACTATCTTGAAGCAGAATATAGAAATACAATTTTGAAAGAAATTCTTTATAATCACCTGATTTGAATAAAAGCTAAGATCTTAGAGAAAGAGAAAGTTTTTGTGGAAAATATGCAAACTTCAAATCTTAATAGGGGTTTGAGAGTCTTCTTTTTTATTTAATTAATTAATTTATTTATTTATTTATAGTACTGGGGCTTGAATTCAGGGCCTACACCTTGGGCCACTCTACAAGCCTTATTTTGTGAAGGGTTTGTTTTGAGATAGGGTCTCATGAACTATTTGCTCAGACTGGCTTCAAACCAGTATCTTCCTGATTTCTGCCTCCTGAGTAGCTAGGATAACAGGCATGAGCCACTGGCTCAGGAAAAATCAAGATTAAAAAAGTTTTAATTAATGACAATGCATAGATTTGAAAAAAGATGTACAAATTCCAAACCCATAGAGAAGAAAAGCTCAACACAATAGAATTAATTGTATGGAAAATAAAAGTAAAGAACCAAAAGGAATTGGAAGTATAAGATTATAAAAGTACCACTTTTATCTGAATAAGTGAGTGGGCTAAACTTCTCTGTTAAAAGAGAGATTAGTTCTTAGATTAAATAAAAAAATCTAATTGCCATATTTCTGTTATTCTAAGATCCCAGCAACTATAAAACATTATCAACTTATTAAAAATGTTTAAGGGAAAGAAATATTATTAATGTACATTTCTGATTATAAGATAAGTCACATTCATAAGCAATAAAATATGGAAAGCTATCTTACATTCAAAGAATTACTATGTAAGGTGTTTACTTTTTAAATTTTTCTTTAAGATCACATTTGTTTATTTATTTATTTTGGAGGTACCAGGGTTTGAACTCAGAGCTTCTCGCTTGCTAGGCAGCACTCTGCCACTTGAGCCACTCCACCAGCTCTCTGTAGTTTTCATAAGGTTGTGCCTAAAAAGAAAAAAAGGACAAAAGGTTTATTTTTTTTTTAAGAGGGATAGGCAAAATGTGTCAGCTGAAAAAAGAAAGAAAAAATGGCATTATAGACATGGGCTAGGGATTTTGCTCAGTGATAGAGGGCCTGCCTACCATGTGTCAGGCCTTGGATTAAATGTCCAGCACCATCAATAGAACTACAACTAAATGGGGCTTATAAAGTTATCATGTGTTGATGAAGGTTAAATTTTTCAAAGTGACCTCATTCCTTAAACCTGGTAACTTATGGATTGCCCACTCTATCTTAGATTCTGATGATTATGTGGATTTTCCCACTTCTATATTCCCTTGATAATTTTGACAAATTAAATAAAAGGAAGTGTACATGAGGAAATAGTTATTAGCCTATGAAGTCTTCGGAAACCTAAATCTGCACTTCTCTCTAAAAGGAATACAATAAAGCAATAAGGATACTTTAAAAAACCACCAAACAGTGTTACACAAAATGAATTTAATGGTGCTTTTGTTGACAGTAGTTTTTTTCCTTTTTCTTTCAGATCCTCCTACCAAGCATGGAATTGATGTTGAGGATATAAAATGCAGCTCCACAGAGATTTTGACCATTCACAATCAGAGTGAACCACTGTCCAGTGAACCAGGTAGAAATTTTGAACAAACCATTGAGTTTATCAACATTACCTATATATAGATAAATGTGAATACATTCACCTAGGAGTCAGTTTTCATGTTTGATTATCATAATCCTGGTTGTCATTTTTCTCTTATCTGCCCTTCTGCATTCATCCTTTCAGAATCCTGTCAGTCTCAAAAGTAAGTAATTCTATGGAGGAAGTAGCATTAATATTAAAAGTAGAAATCTTAAAATGTAGCTCAGTACGATTTTATATTTTATGTCAGTGTTAGCAATTCTGTTGATCTTTACACTTTTTAAGTTTGACTTTTTAATCTCCTAGATTTTATTCTCTGCATGTCATTAGTGCATTATTATCTTACCAACCTGAAACCTGAGAATCAGCTTATGTTCCAGTATAATGCTCAATTATGTTGCTTTTGAAGTCATATTGATGGTACATTTATGATTAGATCACATTAATTACCTATTTGGAAGCTTGCTGTTTTGTTTATTAAAGTAATGAAACTACACTGATTACTTATAAATAAATGAAGATCCAGTTTTCAAGCTCACTCTATAAATTTATACCTCTGTGTCAGGCCATCTAGAGTCCAGACTCATGAAGGAATTACTCTTCATAGTACCATTTGCTTAACATCGCCAATATTTATTATGGTGATAAAAATAGTCCTAAGTTCTGACAACATAAACTGCCAGAATTAAAAAACATTATTGCACATAAAACTCTTAGAACTTATCTAAGTAAATTCAATAGTTTAGCTGTTGCTATAGTTTTTTTCATAGTTGAGATACCATGTGATAAATATATAATTCATTATAATAGATGGAAATTTAAGATTGTTATTTTGTATGTCAAGTGACCCACATTTCTTTTTTTGGTAGTGCTGGGGTTTTGAACTCAGTGTCTTGCACTTGCTAGGCAAGCAGTCTACCATTTCACCAGCCCTGTTTTGCTTTTTAGCCATTTTTCAGATAGGGTCTTGTACTTTTTTGCCTCTGGCACCTCAGCCTGCAATCCTGCTACCTATACCTCCTATATAGCTGGGATTACAGGCATGAAGCATCCACACCCAGCTTGTTTGTTGATATGGGGTCTTGCTAACTTTTTGCCCTGACTAACTTCAAATGGTGCCCTCCCAATTTCCTCCTGAGTGGCTGGGATTACAGGGATGAGCCACTGAGCCCAGTCCCCAAATTTCCTTTTTATTGAAATATTTTTGTTGTAATAGAATGACCAAACATAATAATTGCTTACCAAAAGTTCTAAATTTTACTCTTTTATATAATGTTATGTAAATTTATAATTTTCATATATTCCAGGAGATTTAGAACTACCACTAATTCAACTGAACTTAATAAGCCATCATTCTTCAGTGAATTCATTATGTGCAGGATTTCAGACATTTTCATTTCCTCCTCTTTGTAAAATGTAAGTAAAGATTATATGTAGAACCCAAGTTGCAATTCAGAACAAGCAGTTTTTAATTAAATTTCTCCACATTGAGGTAATTTCCATGATACTTATATGAAAAAATAAGGGATAATACAGTATCTACTGTAAGCAACTGGAGGCTGGGAATGTACCTCAGTGGTTGAGTGTTTGTCTAGCATGGATGAGGCTCTGGATTTGATCCCCACAACTGGAGGGAATACATGGTTGTATACATACATATTTGTTTTTATGCATAGAGTATCTTTAGAAGGGGATACAAGAAACAGGTAACATTGGTTGTACCCAAAAGGGAACTGGGTAATATGGCAATACGGAGATTTTTCACAACATGACCTTTTATAATAACTTTTAGAATTTTGAATGTGAATATGTTACCATTAAAAGTAAATAACTTGAAAATATTCACAGACTGACATTGGCTAGTATACTTCAGACCTTTCACTGGGTCCTTGCTGACAGCACTGCCTCTACTGACACCCATTACCATGAAAGGCAGCTGTGGTGTGTTAATTCTTTACGGCTGTCATAACAAATACACAGACTGCGTGGTATAAACAACAGAACTTTATTTCCTTATTGTTCTGAAAGCTACAAGTTCAAGAACTAAATGTTTAAAGGGTTGTTTTCATTCTAAGGCCTCTTGTCTTAGCTTATACATAGTTGCCTTCTCCCTTTGTGTTCCTAGTCTTACTTCCATCTTTGTCAGTGTCCTAATGACCTCTTATAAGGACACGTCATGTAGAATTAGGGTGCACCTTAGTGACCCCATTTAACCCAATTACTTCTTGAAAGGCCCTGTCTCCAAATATAGTCACATTCTGGGTACTGACATTAAGGATTCAACATATGGTTGGGGGGAGGGTACAATTTAGCCTATAATAAGTGATTTAACACTCTGAATTAGAGCCAGATTGCCTGTCCCTATCACTTACTCTGTGAATTTAATTGTTCTGTGCCTCAATTTTTTTGTCTGTAATACTGGGTAACCATGATGTCCATTTCAAGGAGTTTCCAGGAGATCTTATAAAAGATTTTTCATAGATCTCATGCCAGCAATAGCCAAGGATCACTGAATAAAGTGCATAGTGGTTGATCAGTAGATGTGGCTACTAACTTATTCCCCATAGGAGTACCAGGTATCATATCCCATGTCAAACAGAGAATATCCACTGGTCTTGTTCACCTCTGGCAGTGTGGTCTTAGTGTTTGGAAAACCAAACCTGTAGAACCAAAATGTAATTTAATGTTTTCCAGGATAGTCTTTTATCTTGGAATAAAGCCATTCTATTCTTGCTTCTTATTCCAGTTAGAAAACCAGGAACATAACCAGTACAGTTCCCCTTTTCCCTACTACAAACCTAGAACTTATTGTATCTGAAAATAACATTAAGGAGAATTACAGGAATGTTTATAAGTCCCTGAAGAATTTTCCTAGGACTGGAAACTGTAGGACCTATGTGCTAGGTTTTGAGTTCTTAGTTATAATGGGCTGATCTTCTGGAGGAGAAGACTTTTGGATTATTGAAGCAACTAGAGTCAGAGCTCTAGACTCACCATTGGCCGCGTAGGTATCTGTAATGGTCTGTGTGGTGTCAAACTATAAAATGAAAAAGTGAACATTGAGGGCCGCAACCATGTTTACATTTTCTCTGTAAGAATTATTTACACTTGTGGGGTAGACCTGTGCTACACAGGACACATGGACTAGGACTGTCCACATCACATAAGACACCTAAAAATAGCATGGGAATAAGTATGGGACTTCACATAGCTTCTTTAAATGTCATTAGTCTCTTAGCTAAGGTGAAATGCAAAACATGCTGTATGCATTAGGCTTTTAAACTCTGCTATTACCCTAACCCTTCTGTTAAGGCAAATTAGCAATTAGAAAGACACTATCAGAAGTTAGTTTAATCTTGAATTTCAATTTAATATAAAATCACGCAGGTTATGTACCTATTGTTCTAACTCAAGTACCTAATGAGAATTTATGAAACAAGTCTTATCTGATGCATTATTGTTTGGCAAAATTGAAAGAAAAAAGGCTTTTTAATGAGTTAAAAGTAGAGCCATTTGGAAGCTGTCTCACCACTCCCTCATTCACCAGTAAGGAGAAACCACTTCATTTGGTACGCGACTATATAAACTTAAAGATAGGTACTTTAAATTGATTCAGGGCTGGGGGTGTGGCTCAAGCTCTGGAGAGCCTTCCTAGTAAGCCCAAAGTCCTGGGCTGCAGCCCCAGTATTGAAAATTGACTTATACCTCACCTATAAAACTAAAAACAAAAGGAGAAAGTATTACAAAAATAAAGCAGAAGTAAACAGTGAGTAATATATTGTACCTTTAACTTGTAGTCATTTTCATTTCAAAAACATGTTGGTTGGAAATAATACTCCATTAACAAATATTTTTAGTGCCTACCACATGTAGACTCTATGCTAAATTTTAGGGGACTAAAAGAAAAGTCCTTATGACAAAAGATTTTATTTCCATACTAACTGACTATTTATAAACATATTTTTGTGGCCAAAGAATGTATCAAATTCAGATGTCTTCAGAAAGCCCCATTAACAGCAAAAATATCTATGTTGGATATGGCTGACAGAAATATTTCCCTTTCCTTTTTTTCCTTATAATAATTGCCCACCAGTACCAATGGCTCACGCCTATAGCCCTAGCTACTTGGGAAGCTAAGATTAAGAGGATTGTGGCTCAAGGCCAGTCCTGCAAAATAGTTCATGAGACCGTATCTCCAAAAATAACCACAGCAAGATGAACTGGAGGTGTAGCTCAAGTGGTAGAGTGCCTGCTTATTGTAAGGATGAAGGCCTGAGTTTAAACCCTAGTCCCACCAAAAAAATACAGTAAATAATTACCTATAATCTTAGGTGTTTAATTGTCAAAGAAACCTTGGTAAGATTCAAGAATTGTATAGATTCTCAAATTTTCTACTGTATGACCAGATTTTTTGATTATGTGGGTAAACTGGGTGGTTTAGATATAAAAATCTAGCTTTCTACTACCCTAGACTGTCAGTTTAACTAGCAGTACTCATAACTAGCATCTGCATATGTTCCATATGGTCAAATAAATGGAATACAATCAATGCTCAATCAGTGAAAATAAGAAGTTTGGTGCATAAGGAGCTTGTGAATCAGTGGTCTCTGCCCTACCAAGGATGGTAGCTTCCTAGCTACTGATGAACTGTGATTTACACTATCAAGCAGATTTTCTTCCTACTCCCCTTAGCAACCAAAACACACTGACATATACAACACACATCACTACTCACACATTACCAAGATTGAAGGACCTGAACTACACATTAGGACCTAGGACTTTTGCATAGTGCTGATTCTTAGCTAGTAGAGGGTCCAGAATTTCTGTGTAAGTTGGACTGAGGGACAGCAGTTTTATAAAAAAGAAGAAGAAGAAGAAGAAGAAGGTACTATGTGCATGGTAAGCACAGCAGTTTTATTTATTTTGTATTTTTATTTTTGGTGATTTATAGGATTAGTATTATGATAGTTTGTGAACAGAAGTGCTAAAAATATCCCAAGTCAGTACATTGAAGGAAGTAGAGGCAAAATAGTTTATAAGCAAATGGTAATTACATAATGAAGTAATTAAGGAGTTTATAAATGACCAGACCTTCTCAGGGTTAGAAGAAGTACATGAAATTTGGTCTATGGAACTCTATTTTAATTAATACATTTAAAAAATAAAGTTAAGTTTTCTTTTTGTGTATGAAAATACTTAAAACATAATTTTTATGCAAAAGACCCAGTATTTTTTAATGAATTAAACTAATTCTTCTTTTCTAGTAGTTTGTATACTGCAGAAGAATCGGCTAAAAAGTATTGCATGCTCTGGCAATTTGAAAGCTGCAGAGGCTCTTTTAGCTCATTTTTGCTGACAGGTAAAGAGTGATTGCTTTTAAATGGTAAATAGTAAGCATAGGTGAAAACTACAATGAATAGAAATGTGGGATATTTTTCTTTGACTCTTTCTTAACACAAAATATATAGCTTAGCATAAAGCTATCTGTATTCTACAGCCAGCATTATACTTAACGGTGAAAAACTGAAACCATTCCCTCTAAAATCAGGAACGAGAAAAGGATGCCCACTATCTCCACTCTTATTCAACATAGTACTGGAATTCCTAGCCAGAACAATTAGGCAAGAAGAAGGAATAAAAGGAATACAAATAGGTAAAGAAACTGTCAAAATATCCCTATTTGCAGACGATATGATCCTATACCTTAAAGACCCAAAAAACTCTACTCAAAAGCTCCTAGACACCATCAACAGCTATAGCAAGGTAGCAGGATATAAAATCAATATAGAAAAATCATTAGCATTTCTATACACTAATAATGAACAAACTGAGAAAGAATATATGAAAACAATTCCACTTACAATAGCCTCAAAAAAAATCAAATACCTAGGTGTAAACCTAACAAAAGATGTGAACGACCTCTACAAGGAAAACTATAAACTTCTGAAGAAAGAGATTGAGGAAGACTATAGAAAGTGGAGAGATCTCCGATGGTCATGGATTGGTAGAATCAACATAGTAAAAATGTCTATACTCCCAAAAGTAATCTACATGTTTAATGCAATTCCCATCAAAATCCCAATGATATTCATCAAAGAGATTGAAAAATCTACCATTAAATTTATGTGGAAACACAAGAGGCCACGAATAGCCAAGGCAATACTCAGTAAAAAGAACAATGCTGGAGGTAATCACAATACCCGACTTCAAACTATATTACAAAGCAATAGCAATAAAAACAGCATGGTACTGGCACAAAAACAAACATGAAGACCAGTGGAACAGAATAGAGGACCCGGATATGAAGCCACATAACTATAACTAACTTGTCTTTGACAAAGGCGCTAAAAATATACGATGGAGAAATAGCAGCCTCTTCAACAAAAACTGCTGGGAAAACAATTAGCAGTCTGCAAAAAACTGAAACTAGATCCATGTTTATAACTCTATACCAATATTAACTCAAAATGGATCAAGCATCTTAATATCAGACCCCAAACTCTAAAGTTGGTACAGGAAAGAGTAGGAATACTTTGGAATTAATAGGTATAGGCAAGAACTTTCTCAGTGGAACCCCAGCAGCACAGCAACTAAGAGATAGCATAGATAAATGGGACTTCATAAAACTAAAAAGCTTCTGCTCAACAAAAGAAATGGTCTCTAAACTGAAAAGACCACCCACAGAGTGGGAGAAAATATTTGCCAGCTACACACCAGACAAAGGACTGATAACCAGAATATATAGGGAACTCAAAAAACTAAATTCTCCCAAAATTAATGAACCAATAAAGAAATGAGCAAGTGAACTCAACTTTCTCAAAAGAAGAAATTCAAATGGCCAAAAAACACATGAAAAAATGCTCACCATCCCTAGCAATAAAGGAAATGCAAATTAAAACCACACTAAGATTCCACCTCACCCCTGTTAGAATAGCCATCATTAGCAACACCACTAACAACAAGTGTTGGCAAGAATGCGGGGGAAAAAGGAACCCTCTTACACTGTTGTTGGGAATGTAAACTACTACAACCACTCTGGAAAAAAATTTGGAGGCTTCTTAAAAATCTAAACATTGATCTACCATATGATCCAGCAATACCACTCTTGGGGATATACCCAAAAGAATGTGACACAGGTTACTCCAGAGGCACCTGCACACCCATGTTTATTGCAGCACTATTCACAATAGTCAAGTTATGGAAACAGCCAAGATGCCCCACTACTGACGAATGGATTAAGAAAATGTGGTATTTATACACAATAGAATTTTATGCAGCCATGAAGAAGAACAAAATGTTATCATTCGCTGGTAAATGGATGGAACTGGAGAACATCATTCTGAGTGAGATTAGCCTGGCCCAAAAGACCAAAAATTGTATGTTCTCCCTCATATGCGGACATTAGATCAAGGTCAAACACAACAAGGGGATTGGACTTTGATCACATGGTAAAGCGAGAACACACAAGGAAGGTATGAGGATAGGTAAGATACCCAAAAAACTAGATAGCATTTGTTGCCCTCAACGCAGAGAAACTAAAGCAGATACTTTAAAGCAACTGAGTCCAATAGGAGAAGGGGACTAGGAACTAGAGAAAAGGTTGGTTTGAGAAGAATTCACTTAGAAGGTAACACACACATACACAGGAAAGCAATGAGAGTCAAGTCCCTGTATAGCTATCCTTATCTCAACTAGCAAAAACCCTTGGTCCTTCCTATTATTGCTTATACTCTCTCTTCAACAAAATTAGAGATAAGGGCAAAATAGTTTCTGCCTGGTAGCAAGTGGTTAAGGTGGGTAAGGGGAGGGGAAGGGGGGAGAAATGACCCAAACATTGTATGCACATATGAATAAAAAAAAAAGCTATCTGTATTCTAAGCTCAGAAGTATAAAAGAAGATCTTGATCTTGTTGGTTTTCTAGGTAATTCCTATGTATGGGGTAGAGAGAGAAAAATATACAAGTAGTACTTAAAGTAGTCTCATATGTATAGTTTGTAGTTCCAAGTCTGTGAATTGGCTGCAAAAAAAATTCCACATAGCTAATGTGAAAACTGTCAAATTTTTTAATTTCCAAGCTTTCCAAAAAGGATATTTAAAAACTTTTAAAATTTTTATTTCTAATTTAACAAAGTAGTATTGAGTTGAATATAAATTTCATTTATACATTTAAAATTTATCTAAGTAAGTTAAACTCTTCTGTGTCTGAACTACTCTGTTATGGAAATGGAGCTAGTCTAGATAAAGTATTCTTTAAATTTTTTAAAAATAAATTACTGAGTTGCATATGATGGCCAAACCAAAGTTAAAGTAGGAGCCCTAAAAACAAGAAAGCACTAAAGTTACATTTCACATCATAGATTTCTACTAACCCCGGAGACTCTGTGCTTCTGTTTTGATGTCTGCATAGAGTATAGGGTCAAGAAATATCCTACATAGTGTCTGTTAGGGGATCCCTATATAAAATGAGAGCCCAACAAAGTATATTGTCAAAATAAAAGCAGACACATAGAAGGTGACACTCAGTAAATTTCTCTATTTCTGTCCTGTTAAAGGAGAGGAAAAAAAAAAAAATCTCCCATTTAAACCAGAATCCAGCCATCATGTTACATTGTCATCTGAATTCAAAAACCACATACATAATTTGAAAAACAGATAGTGCTTTAATTTGAAGTGTCCCATGTTGACAGTGCCTACTCCCCCCCCCCAAAAGAAAGGTAGGAAACAAGCAGATCCTTTTTAGAGGAAAATAAGTCACTTCTAGGTAAATATAGTTTAATCCATGCTGAATAGAAACTTCTACAAAGTTCAAAGAAGCTAACAGCCAAAAATTAGGTATCATCACTCAGATCCAGAAGAGACAGCAGATATCAAAATGAGATTGTGTATTGGAATTATCAAACACATAGAGTAATATTTGTTTAAAGCAAAAAGGTAGGGAGGAGTGGGAGAGAGAAAACAGATATGAACAGAGAACAAAATGACTAAGCAAATTTGCAAAAGAGCCATGCAAGTCCTCCAGAAATAAAAACTAAAATCAAAAGCTTAAACAGATTTAATAGAATATTGGGCATAGTTGAAAAGATTAATGAACTAAAAGACAGATGTGAAGAAATTATCCAGAATCTAGTAAAAAAGAAGCAAAGAGAAATGAGAGGTTAAAAGACCTGAGGATTGAGTGAGATGCAAAATATATCTATAATCAGAGATTCGGACAGAGGTAAGAAAGAAGCCACCTTTTTGAAGAGGTGATGACCAAAGATTTTCCAGAACTGGTGACTGGTATCAGTTCTTAGATTCACCAAACTTACTGATTTCCATATAAAATGCATGAAAAATAATTCTACTTCTAAACACATCTGTTATGGTTTGAATCTGAAATGTTCTAAGTTCATGTGGTGAAGGCTTGGTCTCCATCTGATAGCAGTATTTTGGGAGGTGGTAAAAACTTTAGGAGGTGGGGTCTGGTTAGAGGAAATAGGTCATTTAAGACATGCCTTTGAAAAGTGTCTTGCCCCTGGTCCCTTCCTGCCTCTTTCTCTGCTTCTTTTCTGCCATGATGTGAGCCTCTGTCACATACTTCTGCTGCCCAAGGCCCAAAGCCATGGATCCATCTAACCTTGGGCTAAAACCTCTGAAATCATGAACCAAAATAAATTTTCCTCCTTTAAACGTTTCTCTCAGCTATTTATCACAGCAATGAAAAAATTAACATAATGTCACGGTGACTCTGTACATTACCAAAGATGGCAAAGCGATCTTGTAAGTAAGAAAAAGAAAGATGAAAAGTGACTTCCCAATAACACCAATGAAAACCAGAAAAGAGTGGAATAATATCTTTGATATGCTGAGAATAAAATCCTATACCCAGAAAATCTATCATTTAGTAACAAGGGTAAAATAAAGATATCTGCAGAGAAGAAAACAGCAGCCAGGCATAGTGACACATACCTCTATAATTCCAGCACTTGGAGGCAGAGGCAGGAGGACTGAAAATTCAAGGCCAGCCTGGGCTACGTAGTAAGACCCTGTTTCAAACAAGCAAGATTAGAGAGACCTTCTACAGAATGTACTTCAAGTTAGAAGGAAAGTGATCCTGATGGAAAGACTGAACCTAGGAGGGAATGGATGAAGGAAAATGTGTGTGTACAAAAATATATCCACATTACATCAATAACAATAATATCTGCCTAGATTTTTTACAAAATTTTTGTTAGGATATATTCATTATACATGGGGCATTCATAGTGACAATTCCAATTAGGCTTGTATTGTACATTAGTTGCATCACCCCCATCACATCTCTCCCTCAACCCCTGCCTGCCCCACTTAAAGCAATTGCAAGAGGTTTCTTTGTTCTGTTTCATATAAGTATGTGAAGTTCATCCACCATATACCCTCACCTTGCTTAGATGTTTTTAAGGGCAAACACTTCTGGGCTAATAAAGGAAATATGAAATGAAAGCCTTACAAAATATAGCTTTAAAATGGCCATAGTGTTTTGGAGAAGGGTAATGTTTTCTTTGCTTGGTAATAAGTGCACAGTTGTTCATTTTGTTTTTCTTTAATGAATTTACATATACACATAGACCTCTGTATGTATAATTGTATATTTCACAATATAAGAATGAAAATAAAACCAAAAATAGACAAGTTCAAATACCACCACTTAGCTAATACAATGCTAAATAAATAATTTACCTCCTCTGAGCTAATATAATGCTAAATAAATAATTTACCTCCTCTGAGGCTATTTCCTCATACAATGGAAATGATAATAATAATGTCTTATTTCCTAAAAGCCTATGTCCATACAAAGCTTTATACACAAATGTTCAATTGCAGCTTTATTTGTAAGAGCCCCAAACTGGAAATAATTCACATATCCATGAACAAATGAATGGATCAACAATTCCTGACATGTGTATATAATGGAACACTACTCACTAATGAAAAGAAATGAACTATTCCATTTATATATTTGTGAAATAGCAAAATTTTAGAAATGGAGAACAGATGAGTGAAAGCCAGGACTAGTGACAGGAGGGCAGGTTCAGGAGGGAGGTAGGTGTAGGTAAGACAAGAAGGAGGAGCCTATGGTGTTGGTACTTTTTTGGGATGCTGAGTGTGATGAGGGGTACACAAATCTAAATAGGTGATAAAATTGCTTAGAACTTTTTACACATACGCAAATAGGTAAAAACTGAGAAAATCTGAGTAAGATTGGTGGATTGTTAGGAAGTCAGTCTCTTACATGTGCTATTATACAATAGTTCTAAAATGTTACTATTAGAAGAAATCAGGCAAAGCGTATCTCTATTATATTATACAAGAGATGTATCTGTATTATTCCTTAAAACTGCATATGAGTCACAATTACCTCTATCTGAAAAAATGATATATTGATTCATGTAGCAACATGAACTATTCACTGAAAGAAGACAGACAAAAAACAGTTGATACAGTACAGTATCTTTTCATTTACATAAAATTCTAGGGAAGTGTAGTTTTATCTACAGTGGCAGGAAGCAGAACATTGGGGAAGAGGAAGATATGGGGGTTAAAAGAGTAGCATTATAAGGAGGCATGAGAAAACTTTGGAGGGTTATAGAAGCCCATTTCTTGATTGTGGAAATGAATTCATGAGTGTGTACATAAATTAAAGCTTAAACTTTTACTCTATGACAATTGTACCTCAATAAAGCTAGTAAAATAGTATCTATGCCATAGGATTATTTTAGGGATTACTTAAGAATAGTGCATATAAAGCACTTAGCATAGTGTCAGATTGTTTTAGTAACTAGTAATTAGTATTTTTAATATTAGTACTTGTCAGTTTTAAATTTTTATTATTACTATTATTGTCATTTTAAAAAGCAGCATTCCAAAATTAAGATATCAAAAATCCCAGTTTTGGGTGGATGTCTATCATGCAGGTAATAATAATCAGTAGTTGTGCTACTTCATTTCCTCCACATGTTATGATTTTTCCAATTTAGGCTAAAAAGTAATGAAGCAGTAAGCTCTGTATCACAATATCTTAGATGATAATCACCATAAAATCTCAACAAATATGTCTTTAGGTTCATTATAATCAGTTAGAGTTTCTGATTTAATAAATCTTGTATTTTCACAATGTTACCAAATATTTTAGTAGTTGAAAATGGTCAAACAAAATATAGTTCTTTATCCTACTAAATATAGAGTAATTTTAACTTCTTGGTGTTTCCAGGGATTTAAATAATTTATGAGACTTCTGTTATAACTTGGACTTTTACAACAGTTAGCATCTTGGAAACAAAATACCAGACTGAACTTCAAGTTTGACTTTTTTCTAATGTGTGAAAATGTATTTCGTTGAGAAAGCCCAGAATGATTCTGTTTATTGTGTTTTCATTTCTTTTGCCCTATAAACTGTTCTGTTTGTGGTGGTTGTTCTTTTAAGTGGCAAGAGTTCAAGAGCCCAACAGTCAATGTTCAGTTACAGAGTTGACAAAGATCTTTTCTATCAACGAAGAAAGACTTGCAATTAATCCTATAAAGGCAAAGTGGTGGGAACAAGTAGGACTAAATCTAATAATGACAGAAACTTTGGAACATCTGAATACATATTTGTGTCATGATAATCCATCTTCTAATGACACTAAAATGGAGATATGTTTGCCTACAAAAATGCTTCAACTGCAATGTAAGTACCTAATAGTAAGTATAATTTGTGTAAACATTTTTTATAGTGGGAAAATGTTGGATACTAGATTTCTTCTCAGTGGTTAGAAAAACATAACTAAAAGTGCTAGCATTCAATATTGGCTTTGGCTCTGGCTCTGCCAGAATTTGTTTTTTGGTTTTTCTGGGCCAAAAAGTGAGAAAAAGTGAGGATGTTTGATTACTGATCCTAAAATTCCATTGTGTCCTAAAATTCTATAGTCTTTTTTAAAATTTCTAGCCATTTTGTTTCTTTGTGTAAATGCTAGCACAATTCCTATTTATTAGCAGCCTAGGCACAAACCAGCATGTTGTAGTAACTTGTTTTCTGACCTAAAATTTGAGCTAAACTTCAGAATTCAATGATATCTAGTAATCTCTTCAATAAATATATTTTGTTACTACAAATTTTACTAATTTGCCTTTTTATTTATACAGCTTAAAAAGACAAAAATATTAAGTGTCTTATATCTTGTTGGTTTCATTGCTATAGTAGTAAATAGGCCTTATTTGGGTTCATATTTGAATTATACCTTTTTTTTCTCCCCTGCAGTACTGGGGCTTGACCTCAGAGCTTTCACCTTGAGTCACTCCACCAGCCCAATTTTTTGTGATAGGGTATTTCAAGATAGGGTCTCTCAAACTGTTTGCCCAGGCCGGCTTTGAACTGCAATCCTCCTGATCTCTGCCTCCTGAGTAGCAAGGATTATAGCTGGAATCACCAGCACCTTTTTGAAGTACATGTGTTTTGTTTTAAAATTCATTTCTGCAATAACTCATAAATTTCAATCTTAAAGGGATTTGAGAAAGTTTATATTTAGCTTATTATAGTCTGATATATTTAAAAGTGAATTTTAGAAATAATTATGTCTTGGGAGACTGGTTTAAAGACAAGGACTTGGGATAAAATTATTACTAGCAGGGTATGTTTCAATATAGAGGCATAGAGTACTTTGAATGTGGTAGGAAGGAAAACAGACTTACAGATTATACCAATCAAAGATGAAGAAAAGAAAGAAGATCTTTATGGGGATTTCAAATATCTAGATAATGTATTAAATCTATAAATCTATGTAAAGTGTCCTGATACATTTAAATTTGAGGGGAGGGGTAGAATAAAAGAAGGAAATTAAGAACTTGAATATGGTTGATTATACTCTATACAAGAATGAATACAGAAATCTTAAACCTGTTGAAACCACCATCCGGTTTAAGAAAGGGACTAAGGTACAATGAACAAAATTAGAGGAGATAAACCAATTGGGGTCATAATACATAGATGCATGGAAATATCACAAGGAAATCCTGTGTAGCTATCTTTATCTTGGACAAGCAAAATGTCATGATTTTTTTTTCTCTTTTTTCTTCTACAAAATTAGAGGACAGAAGGGCAGAACAGGTCCTGCCACTGAGAGGGGGGAGGTGACGGGGAAAAGGGGTAGGAGGGTGAATAAAAATGTGTACACATGTATGTAAATGTAAAAATGATACCTGTTGAAACTGTTCTAGGAATTGGGAGAGGGAGGGATGAACAGCAGTATAGGGGGTGAATTCAAGTATAATATATTTGATACATTGTAAGAGCCTTTGTAAATGCCACAATGTACCCCACCCAGCACAAGAATAAAGGGAAAAAGATAATAGTAGATGAAAATAATCAGAAAAGTGAAATAATAAACAGTTCCTATTTACCTACTAACTGGATTATTTCTAGAGAATAACTCAGAGGCTACAAGTTGGTGTCATTCAGGTTCTATTCTATTCAACTCTTACATTATTGACTCATATAATATTTTAATTAACAGTATTTAAATTTTGGGGGATTTCATATTAATCTGTATGTTATTTGTCTTTAAAATTCCAACTGGACTCAGATTCCCATATAGCAATTGTCTGGGACCCTTAGCAGCTCACCACTTTAAAAAGAACACATACTCTCCAGCTCACTGTGGTTCTTAGCACCCAGAAATTGAACACAAGTGTTATTTGGTATTACTCTTGGACTTTTGTCTTAGGTTTAATAATCTTAAAAGAAAAGTAAAATATTTATTTCACCAATATTTCTAACAAAAGCAAAAACAAACCATACATCCCCTTTTAGAGGAAAAGAATACTAAGTTTTATCTTTCTGAAGATTATGATTTAAGCATTCCCATATACCTTGCTCATTTATATTATTTACATGACCATATAGGAATATCTTTTTTCAAATCAACTTTATAAGGTGTAATTTACATGTAATAAGTTGCACCCATTTAATTGCATAGGTCAGTACATTTTCCCGAACTGTGAAATTACCACCACAATTAAGATGTAATAGAATATTTCCATCACAAAATTCTCTTTTTTTGTCCATTTGTAGTCATTTTTCCTCCTTATCACCTCTCTCCCCCACCATCCTCCACTCCAGCCCTGGCCAACCCCTAGTCTAATTCTGTCACCTTAGATTAGTTTTCCCTGTTCTAGAATTGCACTTATGGAATCATATAGTATTAACTCTTTTGTGCCATAATTATTCTACTCAATGTAACATTTTTGAGATTTATCCATTTTATGTGTATCACTAATTCATTTCTTTTTATTACTAAGGAATTTTTTGTTGTATGGATGTATCAGTTTTTTCTAATCACCTCCCCAGGATTTATTTCCAAGTTTTTTATTATAGTGAATAAAACTGCTGTATTATTGTACAAGTATTTTTGTGGATATGTTATCATTTCTGCCAAGTGAATATCCAGAAGTAGAATTATTAAGTCTTATGATAGGTGTATGTTTAATTTTCTAAGAAATTACTAAATTATTTCCAAAATAATTTCACCTTTGTGAAATGTAAGAGTTCCAGTTACTCTTTATCCATGTCAACATGAGCAGTACTATTCTTATGGGTATGTTGTAGTATTTAATTTTGGTTTTATTTTGTACTTCCCTAATGACTGATGATGAGTATCTTTTATATATTTTCTTTTAAAAAATAGTAGTTTTATTGTGATATAATTCACATGCCATATAATTAACCCATTTAAAGCACACTATTCAATGGTTTTTAGTATAACCAATGTTGTGTAATCATCACCACAGAACATTTTAGAATATTTATCACTCAAAAGAAACACCACATTTATTAGCAGTCACTTCCCATTGTGCCCAGCTGTTGAACTACTAATCTGTTCACTGTCTTTATAGATTTGCCTCTTCTGGACATTCTATATAAATGGAAATCATGTACAGGTAATATGTGACCTTTTGTGACTGGATTCTATAACGTAGCATGTTTTTACAAGTCATCCATGTTGTAAAATATACATCTCTCATATGAAGTGTTGTTAACATCTTTTGCCAATTTTTAAATTGGGTTGCTTTTTAAATATTCAGTATTAAGAGTGCTTTATATATTTCAGACACAGCCCTGTATCAGTTATATATATTGCAAGTATTTTCTTCCAGTCTGCAGCTTGCTTAGTTCCTGTTTTTTGGTAGCTATAATCTCCAAGACTGAGTCATTGTGAGCCTATAGCAATAGAGCTTTCTGTAATTTCTTCTTTGCCTGGTAACCAAACCCCTCTAGTAAGAAAAAGAAATGCTACATTTTTATCTTTTTATAAATTTGTTTTATTTAGACCAAAAGTTGACTTTCAAAACAGTAAACAAACTACTTCTATAGATCAAATTATGTTAAGAAATTACAACTAAATGTTATCTAATGTTGTACTAGAGTGCTCATTTAGGAATAGAAGTTATCTGGCTTTTTTTCTTTTCTGTTTTTAGCAAGACTAGAGCATAAAAGTTGTTCTTTACCTATTGTACTTTCTAATGACAAATCTACAAATGATCACACATCACTTCCACAAAAGAATCCATCTCTAGCAAAAGAAGTACCAGATCTGTGTTTGTCTGATGAATGTGTCTCTGTTAAAAGACCAAAAAAAGAGAAACTAAAGAATGATGAAGAACTAGTTGATAGAATAATCCAAAGGAAAGAAAAGAAAGATAACTTTGAACTTGACTGCACAGTACCATCTGTTAAATCATCTTCCTCTTCAAGAATTAATAAAGCATCTTTTGAACATGGGAAAAAATGGGAAAATGATTTGGACCTTTTGAGCGACTTTATTGTGTTACGAAATAAATATAAAACTTACACCTTAAAGCCTGAAGTCGCATACCAAGATAAAAAAGATGGTAAGTATTTTACTAATATTTTGGTATGGCTATTATAAGTTCAAAAACTAGGTGCATGAACTATTATAAAAGGCAAAGAAATAAAAGCTCCTTTAGATAAAATTATATTTTTTTCAAAGTCAAAGAAAATGCCATTGATTCATGATGTTTCTTGTATGTGGAGATGAATATGGATATATATAGGTAAAGATTTAGATATAGATATGTTTTCAAAAAATACATTTTACTTTATAACAAAAGCTACTTGCTTCCTACAACTTAGCCATATAAATTCAGAATATTTTTAACTTGTGTTGATCATTCTGCCATCCTTTTTCCTATCTCAGTATTTTAACGTATATTTTAATGTATACTTAAGGATTTTCTTTGCCCATTTAATTGCTTATTATTCTTTCTATTGTCACCAAAGAGTTTTTGTTTGAGCTGTAATTGTCTTATATTTCCTGCTTCTAACCATCTCAAAGGAAGTATAGTGTTTCATGTCATTTCACTTCTGATATAAAATAGTCATTCTAGAATAATTTTGACAGACATTATCCTGATAAAATTAATACAAAAATATTTATGAGACTTAAGAGCATAGTTAGGTCTTACTGTCCTATATACTATTTATGGACACAGATCTTTAGCTCTTAATAATGGTTGTATATACTTGTCCAAAAGGTTTAATAAACTTTTATAGATCTCCTTGCAGTTATATTATTTTTTCAGTGAAAAATATGCTGAAATGCAGAATAGTCATTAAAGATTTCAGAATTGTGTGATCTTTTATGTTTCTATAAAAACACCTTAAAGAGTTTTTTATGTAATAATTTAGCCATCTTACAACTTACCTTACTAGGTGGCAATTCTGTATGTAACTGAGATCATTCTAGCCATATTTGCCCCAGAATCCAAGCATAACTTCTACATAAAAGAATTTCCAAAATGATGGGAAAAACAGGAATTTAAAAAATATTTTCAAATATGTTAATGTTTTCAGGTTCTATTTATATTTGTGTTAAAGGAATTAACACTAACATCCTTTTCTGGTTGCCGTACTTGTAGTATTAGCTTATAAAGGGCGATAATAGCAGCATTAAGTGAGGAAAAGCAACAAGAAAGGAGAAAAAGATTTAAAGCTGGGTTTCTTTTGTAAAAAAAAATAGCCATTAATTTACTAAACAATTAATATTAATACTAGATTGGAATGTTTCCATACTTCTGATGTTTCCCCAAATAGTGTTATGTTCTTGCTTCTTTGCTCCTGTTTACGTTTTCCTTGGAAGGGGTGGAAATAATTACCTAAATTGCAAATATGAAAAAAAAAATAAAGTGGAAGTAAGCTTGTGGGAATAAACTCCCCAGAGAGAGGAGATATTCTTCTTCACCTTCTCATGTTATGACTCTCTTTTCCCAACAGGGAGTCCTCCCCAAGTCCAGCACACCCTAGGACCAGGTAGGTAACTGCCTAATTATGGTCTTTAGTTAGCAAGCCCATTTGTCTCTCAAATTAAGCTCTATTCTCCAACTTTGCCTTTATTAGTAATAAGGGTAATATTTTACTTCTTGTCTTACTTTATAGTTGAGTCAGGGACAAGAAATGTTATAACTTATTAGGCCCCTCAAAAATTCCAATCAATAATTATTACTTGACTATATTTATTCAAATTATTCATAATTAGCTGAAAGTATTACTTAAAAATAGTAATAATCTAGTTTAGGATATGCTCCATTATTACACTGTTTTTTGAGGCAGACTCTTGATAGTTTGTAGTCCAAGCTGGCTTTGAACTCTCAATCCTCCTGCCTCAGCCTTCTGAGGAGGCTGGGATTACACATGTGTGTCACACACCTGGTCTCCACTATTACACTTTTGGCCATGTATTTAAATCTCATATATTAAAATATCTCAAGATGGGAATTAGAGATATGGCTCAAGTACTTGCCTAGCAAGTATAAAACCCTGAGTTCAAACCCCAGTACCAAAGAAACTCAAGGTAGTAATATATTTCTAAAATTATTTTATAAGCATATTGTTGATGGATGACTACTGTTTAGTTACAATATCTCTACATATAGCTATATATATATATATAGTTATATGAATCTTCTATAATATCTAGGAAAGAAGAAAGAAAACTAACATCTATTCAACACTATTCCAGGCACCAAATTGCATCTTAGAGATAAAGATGGTGTGGTTGCTGACCTTGAAAAGCTCACAGTGTAATAGAGTAGGCCAGACATACAGTTAGATTATTTCAATATTATGCACAGAGGACTGAAGAGGCAAAAGAGAGGGGCGCTTTGCTGTCTTGGCAGTAGGGTAGGCAGTCACACAAGACTTCATGTAGAAGAGCTTGAGCTGAACGGTGAGTAGTAAAAATTGGCCTATTTAAGAAAGGATGGAGCCAGGGAAGGCTTGGAGCACAGGATGGACTGGGAGCAGAAGGAAAGGTATGGGTAAAGTCAGAGAAGAGAGAATGATATGTGCCTTCTATGTGTCAGGAACTGTACTTGGTGTTTAATCCTTAGAAGGGTATTTAAAGTAGGTATATTTATTCATATTTTACATATGAGTAAACTGAGGCTAGTGTCAGAACTGAGGTGAAACCCTGATTTGATGCCAGAGTTCTTTCCATTTTCATCATTCCTCTTTATACCCAGCACAGTGTTAAGAATATGAATATTTTGTCCAGTTTAATACTGATGTATTATTAATATGAATTCAACTTAATACTTATGTATTTCAATGAAGATATTTAACAGCTATGATCATATTTTAGAAGAAAGTGTTAAAGTGACATTAAGTTTCTCCTGAATGATGCAAATTAATATTTTTGTTAGAATTTCAAATTAAAGAAGAATGTTCTTTGACTCTTCAAAAAGAAAGTCCTAGTGTTTCTACTAACAAAACTCCAGAGAAAATAAATCAAGAAAGGGGAGCAGATAATGTCATTGAAATTCAAGCATCAGGTATGCAGCATGGTTTAAAATGCATTCAAACATACTTAATTTGAAAGCTCTGTCCTGGGTATCTAGGTCATACCTTATTTTCCATGTAATTTTCTTTATTTGTTTCAGAAATTACTTCATTCCACTTCTACTTTCAAGTTATTTTTAGACCTGAAATGATCTGTTCACTGCCCCTGCTCCTCCTCATTTGTTCTACTCCAGTCTACTAATTGTTATTTCTTCTTTCATTGAAATTGCTGCTGCCTCCCTGCATTCATCAGAAAAATACAAACTGCAGTTCTTTTGACTCTTCTGTCTTGTCTGTAAAATGAGTTGCTAATGATTGTTCTCTCTGTCCTTTTCCCATAATCAGGACAGTATAAGTAAGTTACTATTGATTACTGTATGGATTAATTTTTTATTCTGCTATAAAAAAGAATATTCTTTTGATTTCTAAAACAATCTATATTTAAGAAAATCATGCTCATTAATAAACTCAATAAGGAAATATGACACTATTTCTCAAATACCTTTTCATTTTTAAATTCAGTTTTATTCATGGCCTCTAGATGGCTGTTGAAATCTTTAATGTTATTCAGTGAAAACTAGAAACAAGTCATTTTGGCTTTTGACTTAGGTTTGTAAGCTAATAATGGAGAAAGAAAAGAAAAATATTATGTGATTCTCTTTGTAAGGCTCTTCCTACTTGCCATGTTAAATTAGTTACTGGATAAATCCTTTCTAATAAGTAAAACAGTAATTCAGCTATATAATTCTATGAGGGATTTTGTTTGTTTTTAGTAGTCCATAGAATAAATAGCCTAAAATAAGTCTCTATATAATCTCATGATTTTTGACTCATAAAATAATTTTGATAGAAATTCATGTTTCCATGATGTAACATTTTAATTGGTTTACCACAAAAGAACATACTATCCTTATAAAAACTGATTTTGATACTTTTTTTTTCAGATACCCAGTGCCAAGCCTATTGTTTCCTAGAAGCAGCAGCTACTCCTATCTTAAAAAAACTTGTGTCCCTCTGTACTCTACCTGCTGCTAATTGGAAATTTGCCACTGTTCTTTTTGACCAAACAAGGTTCTTCTTAAAGGAACAAGAAAAAGTAATGAATGATGCTGCTCACCAAGGTGAGTACAAATCAAATTCACATTATTTAAGAGGATATAAGTTTATGGATTATTATATCAAATTGGTAAGAATTTAGTATGGATATGCAAAAATTAGACAAGATGAAGGCTTTATTTTAATTCAGTTTACAGTACCCATCCCCAAACAAAGACTGGAAAGATCAGTTAAGCAAGGAGAAAAAGACAAGAAGTGATCATCGGCACTGCTTTTTAGTGAAGCTCCTAACTGTTATATATTACTTGACAGATTCCTGTTGCAGAACTTAAATGAACCCTGTTATTGTTAACATCTGAACTACTTGGTCTCCTCCATAAAAAAGAGTCCAAAATAGGTTAATTAAAGTCAACCCTGGACTTTTTCTTCTGACCAAGATGAAGTAAGAGAGATTAGATTTACCCTCTTGCCAGAAATAACAACAAAAGACAAAATACATGAAACCAGTTTTTAAGATACTGGGCATGAGGCAATGAAGGATAGTGGTTTCTGAGAGAAGGGCAACAAGTGAGGTGAGCCCTGTCACCACCCTAACTTATGGGGCCATAGCATGCGAGGAGAACCTGAGGCAGAACATGGTAGATAATGTGAGTTGAAGAAACAGAGCTGAGAGTTCAGGGATACAAGGAAGTTTAGAGTAGAATATTAGAGAGCAGAAAGGGCTGGGATGTAGCTCAGTGGTATGGTCAAGGCCCTGCAAAATTTAGAGAATAGAGAGCTTCACATAGAGGACCTGAAAAATCTGCAGAGGAACACTCTCAAGTTTTCAGCAGATTATATATGAGGAAACTACTTGAAGTCAAGACACAAACCATTTGAAAGGATTAGCGGGAATAGTATACTGCACTCAGGCAGAGCAGGGCATCACGTCTATTCTCAGCAGCTAGACTGAAAACTCACTGTTCATGGCACATTAAGTGGAGTACCTACAAAGTCCTGCCTTGGTAGAAGGGAGTAATTATCCCTAGATTCATGACTGCTCTGAATTTGCCTTAAAAATGATAAAAACAAGATTCAAAGACTCCAACTATTTCCAAGGAATTAACTGCATCACATAACAAAGCTTAAGAAGGTTTATATGAACACAGAAACATCCATCAAGGTAAAATTCACAATGTCTGGCATCTCATCAGGTCACCAGGCATACAAAGATGCAGGAAATACAACCAATAATGAGAGAATAATCAAAACAAACCAAGGTCTCTCAAAGATGCTAGAATTATCAGAGAGAAACACTGTAACTTACTATAAATGTTTTTCCTATGTTCAAAAGTATTTTAGGCACCTGCCTAACAGCCATAATTACCATTGCCACTGATGACCCCAGTATTCTGGGCCTGGGATGAGAGAGAATGGAAAAAGGATTTAAAACAAAGCAACACAAGAATGTTCTTTCATCCATAGTAGTTCCCTTTCCCATTTCTCTGACCATGGATTGAGGATATCTCTTAGACGTTTATCCCTATAGTGGTATGCACTTCTGGATTTTTGGGCTACCATCCCATGCCAGGAAATACTAACAGGGAAAAAAGTAGGAAACTCACCATTTGTTCAGTAGCATTCATTAAACTTTGGCCTGAGGAGATGGCTCATACCCATAATCCTAGCTATTTAAGTGAAGATTGGAAGATTGGGAGGATTGCTGTTTGAGGCCAGCCTGGGTAAAAAGTTAGCAAGATCCCACCCCAACATATAAACCAGGCATGGAGGCCATAGGTAGGAGGAGTACAGTCTGGGACTGGCCTTCAGCAAAGCATGAGACTCTATCCAAAAAATAAGCAAAAAAAGGGCTGGGGGTGTGGCTTGAGTGGTACAGTACCTGCCTAGTAAGTGAGAGGCCCTGAGTTCAAACCTCAGTACCACAAATAAATAAATACATAAACTCATTAAATTTAGATGTCCTATATATTCTTTTTTTTTGTTGTTGTTGCCTGTCTTTGTCGATTTGTAAGAGAGCTGTTCATGTGAAACATATGAATTGTGTTGTCCAATATTACATATATTGTCTTAAGCTTTCAGTGCTCCAATCTGTAGAGGTTTTCTTCCTTACGGTATCTGGCTTTTTTTTTTTTTTCCCTAGTCAGGCAGGGTGGCATGCAGCTGTCATCCCCACTACTCTGGAGGCTCAGGCAGGAGCATCACTTGAGCCTAGGAGTTCAGGGACATAGTGAGATCCCCATCTCAAGAGAAAAAGAAAAGATTTCCTCAGGCCCAAGATTTTAAAAAGCTGTAGCTGAAATATCTTCTGTGAGTTTTATGGTTTGATTAATTACCCAAGGATGTATTTTTAATGGATCTTGTTTTTGGAGGGAGGGATCATTTTAGATTCACAGTGAAGTTGTAAAGACCCACCCTCCTCTATTGTTGTTTTTTTTTTTTTTTTTTTTGGATTGATATTCTTTTTTTTTTTTTCATTTTTCTTTTATTATTCATATGTGCATACAAGGCTTGGTTCATTTCTCCCCCCTGCCCCCACCCCCTCCCTTACCACCCACTCCGCCCCCTCCCTCTCCCCCCCCTCAATACCCAGCAGAAACTATTTTGCCCTTATTTCTAATTTTGTTGTAGAGAGAGTATAAGCAATAATAGGAAGGAACAAGGGTTTTTGCTGGTTGAGATAAGGATAGCTATACAGGGCATTGACTCACATTGATTTCCTGTGCGTGGGTGTTACCTTCTAGGTTAATTCTTTTTGATCTAACCTTTTCTCTAGTACCTGTTCCCCTTTTCCTATTGGCCTCAGTTGCTTTAAGGTATCTGCTTTAGTTTCTCTGCGTTAAGGGCAACAAATGCTAGCTAGTTTTTTAGGTGTCTTACCTATCCTCACCCCTCCTTGTGTGCTCTCGCTTTTATCATGTGCTCAAGTCCAATCCCCTTGTTGTGTTTGCCCTTGATCTAATGTCCACATATGAGGGAGAACATACGATTTTTGGTCTTTTGGGCCAGGCTAACCTCACTCAGAATGATGTTCTCCAATTCCATCCATTTACCAGCGAATGATAACATTTCGTTCTTCTTCATGGCTGCATAAAATTCCATCGTGTATAGATACCACATTTTCTTAATCCATTCGTCAGTGCTGGGGCATCTTGGCTGTTTCCATAACTTGGCTATTGTGAATAGTGCCGCAATAAACATGGATGTGCAGGTGCCTCTGGAGTAACAGTCTTTTGGGTATATCCCCAAGAGTGGTATTGCTGGATCAAATGGTAGATCGATGTCCAGCTTTTTAAGTAGCCTCCAAATTTTTTTCCAGAGTGGTTGTACTAGTCTACATTCCCACCAACAGTGTAAGAGGGTTCCTTTTTCCCCGCATCCTCGCCAACACCTGTTGTTGCTGGTGTTGCTGATGATGGCTATTCTAACAGGGGTGAGGTGGAATCTTAGCGTGGTTTTAATTTGCATTTCCTTTATTGCTAGAGATGGTGAGCATTTTTTCATGTGTTTTCTGGCCATTTGAATTTCTTTTGAGAAAGTTCTGTTTAGTTCACATGCCCATTTCTTTATTGGTTCATTAGTTTTGGGAGAATTTAGTTTTTAAGTTCCCTGTATATTCTGGTTATCAGTCCTTTGTCTGATGTATAGTTGGCAAATATTTTCTCCCACTCTGTGGGTGTTCTCTTCAGTTTAGAGACCATTTCTTTTGATGAACAGAAGCTTTTTAGTTTTATGAGGTCCCATTTATCTATGCTATCTCTTAGTTGCTGTGCTGCTGGGGTTTCATTGAGAAAGTTCTTACCTATACCTACTAACTCCAGAGTATTTCCTACTCTTTCTTGTATCAACTTAAGAGTTTGGGGTCTGATATTAAGATCCTTGATCCATTTTGAGTTAATCTTGGTGTAGGGTGATATACATGGATCTAGTTTCAGTTTTTTGCAGACTGCTAACCAGTTTTCCCAGCAGTTTTTGTTGAAGAGGCTGCTATTTCTCCATCGTATATTTTTAGCTCCTTTGTCAAAGATAAGTTGCTTATAGTTGTGTGGCTTCATATCTGGAGCCTCTATTCTGTTCCACTGGTCTTCATGTCTGTTTTTGTGCCAGTACCATGCTGTTTTTATTGTTATTGCTCTGTAATATAGTTTGAAGTCAGGTATTGTGATACCACCTGCATTGTTCTTTTGACTGAGTATTGCCTTGGCTATTCGTGGCCTCTTGTGTTTCCATATAAATTTAACAGTAGATTTTTCAATCTCTTTAATGAATGTCATTGGAATTTTGATGGGAATTGCATTAAACATGTAGATTACTTTTGGGAGTATCGACATTTTTACTATGTTGATTCTACCAATCCATGAGCATGGGAGATCTCTCCACTTTCTATAGTCTTCCTCAATCTCTTTCTTCAGAAGTGTATAGTTTTCCTTGTAGAGGTCTTTCACATCTTTTGTTAGGTTTACACCTAGGACCCCAAGCAGCTTTAAAAAAGAAAAGAATTAAACACTAAACACAACATAAAAGACTGTAAGAAAATCATGTGTGTGTGTGTGTGTGTGTGTGTGTGTGTGTGTGTGTGTGTGTAAAATAAGTACCCAGTCTTTTGGGGAACAATATTTTAGTAACCAAAACTTTGAGGTCACACATATTATTACTGAGATAGAGTACATGATCTGACAGGAAGGTCTTAACTCATAGATTACTACTTGAAATACCCTTGAGCCACAGGAAGAACATAGCAGTGTAACCATCAATTAAAGAATCAAGATTTATACTTTGGAGAACTGGCATTGTGGTAATGATTATGCTATGTAGAAAAGAATACAGTAATTGTCCACAAGCTGCTCTTTATGGAAGAAGACAAGATTTCCACAAAGAACTATTTTTGTTTCATTTTTTTAAATAGAATCTTCCTATGTATCCCAGGCTGGCCTTGAACTTAGAATCTTCCTGACTCTACCTCCCAATTGCTAGGATTACAGTGTGCACCACCATACCCTGCTCACTTCCATAACATTAAAAAAAAACCTTCTGAATATAGTTTTGTGTGTGCATGTGTGTGGGGGGGTCGGGTACTAGGGACTGAACACAGGGCCTTATGCTTACTAGGCAAGAGTTCTATCACTCAAGCCATACTCTCAGACCTCTGAATGTAGTTTTGAGTCCTGTAATTCTTAGGTTTTAAATTAGTTGAATATGGGTTGAGATTCTAAAGGCTTTGAATGCTACTAAGCAGAATGATGATTATTATACAATATATAGGCATAAGTATTTTTGAAGTATAATAGAGGACAAGAAAGGGAACATGGGTTTGGGTGTCCAATTGGGCCATAATGCCTTAATCATGCAAATAATATAGTTACTGTACTTGATAGTCTTCATTGGCTCCAGAATTGAGATAAGGCTAAACCTGCAAATAACAACTAAGCAAACTTAGAAGTCAGACAGGCCACTTCCTACCAGTTGGTCTAGTCTGTACTAGTCTATACATTCCTCAGATATGGGGTTTTTTAAAAATTTTTTTAACCTGTTTTCATCATTTCTGGCTGTGATTGACTGGTTCCTACAACTACTTCCAAGGGCTGGATATACTCCCTGCAATTTGTATTCCCAGTGACTACTACATGTTTGTCTAGACTTTATTTGATTGTATCAGCAATTTGTAAATTTTTTAGCAGAATTATTTGTTCAAATAATTATTTCTCAGGATCCCACAATATATGAAGGAAGTAGAGCTTCTCTGGCTAAATTGGAGCAGTGGACCTAGAGTCCTGTCATCTTGGTTACACTTTTACATAAAGAAGGGTGAACTCACTCAACTTCAGAAAGCTCTGGAACTACATAGAACACATTAATTAGGCAATTTACTGTCCCTGTGAATATGTCTCTTGTTTGAATCATCTCTTCCCAGGTGTCCATCTCCATTTCACACTTCTTCATGTTGTGATCCTATACCCTTATCTTAACGAATTGGCAAGTTATGAATTTAATTTTCTTCTTGTTTCATAACTGGGAAATCATTTATCTTTTTTCTAACAAGAGTGGAAATAGCTGGGTATGACAGCTTATGCCTGTAATCGTAGAGAGGTGGAGATCAGAAGGATCACAATTAAAGGCCAGTCTGGGCTAAGTTATTGAAACAGTGAAACCCCATTTTTACCAATAAAAAGCTGGCATGGTGGTATGTACCTGTCATCCCAGCAATGTGGGAAACATAACTAGGAGGATAGGGTCCAGGCTGGCCCAGCATAAACTCAAGAACCTGTCTCAAAATTAACCAAAGCACAACAGGCTAGAGACATGGCTCAAGTGGTGGAGCACCTGCCTAGCAAATACAAGGCCCTGAGTTCAAATCCCAGTACACCCCCCAAAAAAAGAATAGAAAGAATTGAATATTCTTGGAAGCAGCAAGGTCCCGAGCTGTAAGGTTAGTTATCTGGTTTAAGAGCCAGCTTCACCACTTGTTTACTAATTGACCTTTGAAAGTTACTTAACCTCACTAAGACTGTTTCCTCATTAATAAAATGAGGACAATAAGAAGCCTTCCTGATAGGATTGTTATGTGTTCAGTGAAATAACCAGCTTCTATACAGCCTGGCACATAGTAAGCACTCAACAATAATTGTTAGCTGTTATTAAGCAGATTCTGACATGCATTTTAAAATTCTAATATACTGTCTATGTTTTTAAATGTTTTTGCTTATACAGGTACAAGTGATGGAGGGGAAATTATGTACAAGCATGCTGCTATCTTACACCTTCTGGTAACAATTAGAGATGTCCTTTTAACATGCAGCTTGGACACAGCTTTGGGTCGGTGGAGAAAATTTTATTTCTCACTTTCTTACTACTGAAATATTTCATCAGAAATAATTTTTCTGAAAAAGAAATACCTCTTAAGAAATTATGTAGCCTTCTTTTACTATTACACAAGCATGTTTACATTTTGACATAATTATTAATGGAATATATTTTTCTGTGCTAGATATCAAACCCAAGATCTCTTGTGTGCTAGGCAAGCACTCTTAACATTGAGCTACACCCCCACACCAGAAGGTGTTTGTTTTTTGTTCTGATTGTGTTCATTAAAAGAAATTATCCTTAACAAGTTCTGTCACCTAGAAAAATAAGTTTAGAGTTCTGTAATCTAGGTCTGAATTATAGAGTCCTAATGGCCTTATATAGATTTGATTGTATAATCATTATGCATTACTTTTTAATGTAAGATATGACATTTTGCCATGTACATTTTAAGTCCATTTTAGCTTTTAGTCTTTACTAGATAAAATACAGCTAAATTATCAGGAATAAAATCTTTGCAATTTCTTTTTTGTTGCATGTGTAAGCTAGATGAGTTACATGAATAATAAAAATCAAACTATTTTTAATTCTACCAGACTCTACAATTTACCCTAATAAATTATAGAGTACCCTGGGATTAAATGAAATCATTGAGAGGTATATTCTTGGGCTGAATTTTTTTTGCTCCTGAAAGGAACGGATTTATTAAATCACATTTTGGCATTACTATTTGGCTACCTAGAGGAAGAGTATAAAAACAATATTATTGTTAGAAAACTAATTTCTTAAACTGTGCTTACAAGGCCATATGGATAATCTGGCTGTCTCAGACATTTTTAACAGAAGACTTTCTCACTCCTCTAACCTTTCCAAAGCAAAGATGAAGTTGGGGTTTCCTCCTTTCTTTTTCTCTGTGTAGTAGCTATATTAATCAGCTTTATGTTACTATAGTGAAATACCCTAGACAACTGACTTTATAAAGGTTTGTTTAGCTAACAGTTTTGTGGTTCAAAGGCATGGTTCCTGCATCAGCTCAGTTCTGGTAAAAGCAGCACATGGAGGCATGTAATGGCAGGAGTGTCTTTAGTAACACATAGGAGTAGAAAGAGAACTTGACACAGCCAAACTCAGGCTTTTATAATAACTTTCATGGAACATAATCTCCACAGACATGTCTACAATGACTCAAGAACTTTCTACTAGGCCCACCTCCCAAAGGCTCCACACCATTTCCAAACAGCTCCACTAGGGGACCAAGCCTTTATATATAGACCTTTGGAGAGCACTCATCCAAACTATAATGGAAGCATAGGAATTCCAAAAACTGAACATGGTGGTGCACACCTGTAATCCCAGCGCTTTGGAGGTTGAGGCAGGAGAATTGCAAGTTCAAAGCCAGCCTGGGCTACATACACTGTCTCAAAAAAAAAAGAATTTATTGTATTATACTTAGATGTATATAAGTGTATTGTATACTTATTGTGCAGAGGATAGGGAAATGCTGAAATAGGGATGCTACTGGATTAGATTTTTTTTTTAAAGTTAAGTCTGATGGCAGTGTGAGGAATCAATGGGAGTTTGAAAATTGGTAGACAGAAAGAGCATAAGTCTCATAAATTGCACCTCAGTCTAGCAATACTAACATAAAATTATCATTAATAGGTATTTACACATAAAACATAGGAATATAAACATTGAATTTTTTGAATTTATTATTTCATTTATTACCCAAATACTCCTTAAATATTGGACCTACATAATTTACTATGCCAGGTGCTTTATGCAATAATTCACAAAACTTGCTGTACAGAAGAATCACAAGGAGAGCTTTTAAGACAAAGAAATCTTTGGGACACAATCTAAATTGACTGAATGTGAACAAGGACAAGTCTTAGTAACCTACATTTTTAAAATTGCCCTTAATAGATGGGTGCAGGCAAGGCATTGTGGATCAGTATACTGACCAGTATACTGAGAGGCATAGGTAAGAGGATTGCAGTCTGAGGTCACCCCTGGAAAAAACACAAGATCCTATCTGAAAAATAAAGCTTGGGGCATGGCACAACTAATAGAGTGCCTGCCTAGCAAGTGCAAGGCCCTGATTCAAACCCCAGTACAGAGAGTGGGGCGGGGAGGGGAGGAGAGGGAAGGGCAATGAAATAGCATTTTAAACTGATTTTCAAGTGTAGATTCTCAGATTCAGGAAATTTAAATAACAAGCCAGGAGGCAGGGAAGGGCAGGCTATATTCAAAGAACATGTAGTACTGGCACTATATTAGCTTAAAAAGAGATGAGGTACATTTTTCCGGCTTCACCCAATTTTAAAGAAATGATGTGTTTGAGGAGATAAATATGTTTGATCTGATTTAAACATTACATAGGTATACAGTTGTCAAAATGTCAGATAGTACCCTGTAAGTATGTACATTTAAAATATTTATGTATCAGTTTAAAATGTAAATACAAAATTTTGAAGGTTTTTATTCGTCAATTTCCTTCATCACAGTCCAAATACAATTAAATTAAATTGTAACTGTCACTATTATGATTCATTTCCTTTTAGCTTTTTTATCATGCAGTTTCTCACAGAACAAAAAGACAAATTTTTTCTAATTTTTCTTTAACAGGGTATTTGTCCAATGCAAAAGATATCTACAAATGCATTTTAGGCTCCTATTTGGATGATATTTGGAGACAGTTGAAGATTGTACAGTTTATTCGAGGGAAAAAGCCTGAAACCAACCATAGGCTACAAAAACTGCGATGTCAGATACTAAGTTGGATGCACAGTCAACAGCAAATTAAGGTTAAGTGTTAGAATGAAGCATATAAAAGTAATAAGTATAAATAAGACTTAGATGTAACATGAATTTTTGCACTAAACTTTGAAATTATGAAATAATCTATACTATTTGGCCCCATCTTCTTAACTAAGGTAACAACAAACTCAGAGAATGGATGACTTTTATCATTATTCATATGTCTTGAATTTAAAAATACTTTAATTTTTATTATAGACATTTTTTATGGACTAATTCTCCAAATGCCAATTTTTGTCTGAACATGAACATATATACCAATAGAACTGCAGTAATTTATTTTTAGATATCGAGCCAGAATCTCATTTGACATGATTGTATAAAAATGAACTTAGTTTATACGTTGGCTTATAATGGAAATTATTTACTCATGCTACATCAAGGATATGAAAGTTGCACTAATGAAAATTTAAGACAAAATGCTTTTTAAAAAAATATTATCAAGCAGAAAAAACATTTCAAATGGTTATACTAAATCTGGATTTATGGGCTTTTTCTTTACTATTCTTCCTTTATTTTTATCTTCAACTTCATAGTTTATTGAATAAGTTTCTTAATTCATTAAAATAAATTAGGTCAATAAGTGATAAATTAATTTTTTGATTGTACTGGGATTTGAACTCAGGACCTCACACTTGCTAGGTAGGCATTGTACCACTTGAGCAACTCTGCCAGCCCAATAAATGACAAATTTAAAAATGAAACTTATTAGATGTTCCCTTTCCAAAAAAAAAAAAATCCTGCAGTGGTAAGTAGGAAAATGTAGTAACAAGTCATTGGTTTTCCACAACAAATTCAAACTTGTCTGTGTTGAACTCAACACTAACAAAATAGCAGAGGCAATGTTATGACAGTTATATATATAGGAATACTTGAAGAATGCCAAGAGTACCTTACCCCAGAGGATTTTCTTCATCCATCAGTGCTACCCGAATTTATTTCTTAGTGTTTAAGCACTGGCATCCTTTACAACACAAATACTTACTTTGTAATTTTTTTGGTGGTAATACATTTTTAAGACAGGGTATCAATGTGCAGTCCAGGCTGGCCTCAACTCTAAGATACTCCTGCCTCAGCCTCCTGAGTGCTGGGATTACAGGCCACAACTCTTAGTAACTTTGTAATTTTATTGTCATAAGTTTCACATGACCAGTTAAGTTTGTTATTTGTCACTGTAGCAAAAGTGTGGAAAATAATCATTCAGAGATAAATATGAAATTCTTATTTTTGACTAGGTGCTGATTATAATAAGAATGGACTCAGATGGTGAAAAATACTTGCTTATTAAAATCCTTAACAAAATAGAAGGTAGGACCTTTTAAATTATGCTTTTCTCTTTTTTTTTTGGTAGGACCAGGATTTTGAACTCAGGGCTTCTTTGTGCTTGCAAAGCAGGTACTCTACTATTTGAGCCACTCCTCCAGTTCATTTTGCTTTGGTTGTTTTAGAAATAGGGTCTTGAAAACTATTTGCCCAGGTTGGCCTGGAACCTCAATCCTCCTGGTCTCAGTCTCCCAAGTAGCTACGATTATAGGCATGAGCCACCAACACCCAGCAAATTATGCTTCATTTGATAACAAATAATTGAACATATAAAAATGTATTAAGCTAACCAGCTTTTGAAATTAAAATATTGTTAACATACCATAAAATTCATCCTTTAAGAATATACAACTCAGTGTGTCTAACCAATTTTTAAATCAATCTAGACTATAAGTCTGCAATATAGACTATAATGTACTTACATATATATATTTGTTATTAATAATTAACAAATTTCTATTGATTGCTTACTAGTTACTAAATAATACTGACTGCTTACAACAACTCTATAAATAGGTTTTATCAACCCAGTTTTACAGATAAAGGAAGTTCATAAAGTGGGGCATGGTGGTGCATGTCCATAATGCCTACTGCTCAGGAGGTGAAAATAGGAGGATCATGAGTTTGAGGCCAGCTCAGGCAAGGTTTACAAAACCCTATCTCAGAAACAAAATATAAAACAAAAGGACAAGGTGGGTAGTTCAAGTGGTAAAGCAGAGGCTGGCAGAGTGGCTCAAGTGGTAGAGCACCTGCCTAGCACTCTTGAGGCCCTGAGTTCAAACTCCAGTGCCACCAAAAAAAAAAAAAAAGATCAAATAGTAAAGCACTTGCCTAGCAGGCACAAAGTCCTGAGTTCAATACCCAGTCTGAGCAAAAAAAAAGAGAAAAGTTCATAAAGGTGATGTACCATGCCAGATCTTACAGCAAGTGAAAGAATCAACTTGAACCTAAGTTTCTCTTGTTTCAATGTTGTTCTTCAGCCCTGTGCCCACTGCTGCCCCATTCTCTCTGTCAGTCTTTTCTGCTTTGAGCTGGGGAACCTATTGCTTATATGCAAATTCTTCACCTCCCTTGTCTTAATTGATACTAAACTCTCCCCCACACACATAGGATACTGCTGTATGCTGTTTCTCCCTCAAATGGAAACTGACCATTTTCTCTCTCCTCCCTTCCTCTCTCTTTCCTTACTTTCTATTATCATTTCCAAAACATTCCTTAGTCTTTTGAGGCTGAACCATATTTCCATATCATTCTCTACTTTGAAGTCCAATCTTTAAACTTTCCTCTCTATGTGTACACACACACACACACACACACACACACACACACACACACACACACACACACACACCAGAAATACTGCTTATGGCTTAAACTTTGTGATATACTACACTTAGAAGGATCATCCAATAAATTGTCTTTTAAGCAATTTCCTTGTTCACAGATTTTTAGTTCATTTTTATGGGAAGGAAATATATGACACACTGAAAAAAAAGTTGTACACAAAACTCTGAAAAAATCTTGTTGAAAAATCTCTTTTTTCTTAACAGGTTTAACATTGACTGTTTTTCATTCAAATGCAAGAAAAGATTTTCTGGAATCTAAAGGTGTTTTAAATGGGTAAAGATATGTTTCTTTAACTATGGGGAACAAACACATCAATTCCATAGGAAAAGCAAAATTTCTCTTATAATTTGAGCAGGGGATGTAGCTCAGTGGTAGAGTGCTTGAGGTCCTGACGTCAAGGTCTCTATCCTCTTCCTAAAAAGAACCTTACATAGAACATGTTAACTTTGATCATTGCCTTGTGTGTAATATAAAATTAGTGCCCATAAATTTAGTTCAGTCTTACTTTAATAACCTCAGATTATCATTATTTTGTTAAGACAGAAGTACCTATTCAAACTTACCCTTCTTTTTTACCAGTTTCTTTGCTCAGCATTTTTTTTCACTATCTCCTTGCTTTTCTTTCTGAAGTTTTTGTTTGTTTGGTTTTTTTGGCGGCACTCAGGGCCTTTCACTTTCTAGGCATGTGCTCTTACTGCTTGTGCCACTCTGCCAGCCCCTGAAATTCTTTCTGAGGGCCTGCTAATAATAAAATTAATACTGCTTTGTTTCATGTAGAAATTATTCATTTCTAATATTAGGACCTATGTAATTAAGGGAGATATAAATCAAATAGAAACCCATAAAAACTACACATAAGTACTTAACTAACTTCTAGATTGCTCTAGATAGAAAGCAGCAGTAAAGATTTTTAATTATTGTAGGTGTTATGTTATGTGAAATTTGATGATGAGAAAGCTAAACTTATAATATTTAAGTGTCCATCTTTTGTTGTTAAAAAACTTAACGAAAATCCCATTGAGAAAAAAAGACCCACATTTCAGACTTGTCAGAATATATTCTACTATGTACATTCTCAAAAATTCAGACTTTACATTTGTAAGAAAATGAGATTGTGGGCTGAGGGCATGGCTCAAATGTTAAGCACTTGCGAGCAAGCATAAGGCAAAAATGAGATTAGTTTCTCATGTTGAGTTCTGCCACTGACAGTACTCAGGTAATAAAATCAGAATCACATTTGAGTTATGAAATAGCCTACAGTTCTGTATATCCTGGCATTAAAAAAGTATGGTCATCAGAATGAAAGAGATAATACAACTAGAGAAGAAGTAAACAGAAAACACACCAGTGCTGTTCCAAGTTGAGTAGACATAAACTGGAGGAGAATGGCCAGAAAGTCATCCTTTAGCATTCCAGTTAAATAATGGCACAAGTGTAATTTCATTTTCTTGGCTTTCTTTTGTTTTCAGTACAAGTTCCTGTATAATTGTACATAATGAAAGTATTGGAGCCAGTTTCCCCTGGAGAAGTTTCTCATTTGTTGTGGAATACAATTACGCAGGACACTCTTGTTGGACTAAGCACTGCGAAAAGTTGAATGTGCCTTTCTTGGCCTTTAAAGTAATGCTTCCAGACACCGTTTTAAAGAGTAAGGAGATAAGCCAAAAGCTCTTGTTTGTTCCATTAGAATAAAAATTTTCTAATTTCTAATTATGATCTATAGAAATGAAAACCTTTCTTTATTCAGATTTTTATTTTTCATGGCAAATACTTATTTATTTATTGGTGGCACTATGCTTTGAACTCAGGGCTGTATAGTTGCCAGGCAGGCACTCTACCTTTGAGTCACCTCCAGTTCTTTTTTTGCTGCGGTTATTTTGGAGATATGGTCTTGCTTTTTGCCCAGGCCAGCCTAGACCACAGTCTTCCTATTTTAGGCCTCCTGCCATTGCTGGGATGACAGGTATGCGCCACCACATGTTCCATTGAGATGGGGTCTTGCAGTCTTTTTTGACCAGGTTGTCCTGTAACCATTATCCTTCCAATCTCAGCCTCCTGTGTAGATTGAGATGACAGGCAGGTACACACTACCACACCCAGCTATTGGTTGAAATGGGATTTCCCTAACATTTTTGCCCAGGCTGCGCTCAAACTGCCATCCTCCTGAGATCTCAGCCTCCCAACTAGGTGAACCACCAGTACCCAGCTGTGAATATTATTTTTATACAACTTCTTGAATATTCATCTATTATTCTCATGTTTAGTAAGAAAGAGAAGGAATTAGGATATAAGAAAAATGTAAATATTTATAAGTTTTCTCTTATTTAGGAAGCAATGTACTGGATAGATTTGGTGGTTTTCTTTTGGAAATGCAGATTCCGTATGTGTTTTTTGCATCTGAAGGACTTCTTAATACTCCAGAAATACTTCTGCTACTAGAATCTAAGTAAGTTAATTGACTTTATAATTTTAATAAATTATTATTATATAATTTGTGTATATTTTGATGTCTAAATATTATGTATCTTTCTGACCTAAGCCTGGAATTAAATCACGTAAGAATCATTTCCCAGAGACTGTATCAATTTATACTTCTTTCCCCATAGTATACCCTAATAATGATTGAATATTTTCTTTTTTATAATATTTACTAATTTTATAGACAAAAAAGAAAATTTAGTTATTGTTTAAATTTATATTTTACTTATATTTCTTTTGTTACTAATGAATATAAACATTTTGTATGTTATTTTTCTGTGAATCATATGTTCATATCTTTGAGTCATTGATGATTGAGAATGAGTATTCTTGTTTAGGAGACTTTAAATACTTCTTGGGAAACAGGACTATGAAGTTTTAAATGAATTCTTGAGTTCTTAGGACTTATGATCTTATTTCTAAGGTTATACCAACATTGAGTGTTTTAAAAATCAAAAACCCTTTATCATAGCACACACGTTGTCATAGGCATGTCAGGCCTTATACTGCTTATCAAGGAAGGCTAACTGAGCTATGACCTTTGATAAAGTGGAAATTAGTTTGTCATGCTTTTGTTTTGATATCTTTAAGCTTTAGGGTATTCATGGAAAACCATGAACTTATAAAAAGTTGCTAAAACCTAGGTCAGAGACTGTGGAGTGTAGAGGTTTGCTTAGTATATATAACGTCCTGGGTTCAGTCCCAAATGTACTCCCCCCAAAAGTAGTCCAATTGTAAGGAAAAGAAAATTATGATAAATGGGGAATAGTTTAGTCTCATAACACAGTGTTTTAATTTCACAAATATTACTTAAAGAGCTAAAATGGTATTTGTAATGTATTATGGGCCATAATGTTCGGGACAATACTGAATGGAACACACATCTCAACTGTTTGTTTTACATATTGAATGAACCAAATTTCTTCCCTCTGGTCTTAAATCTGAAAGAAAAATACAAGAATTCAAATAATTTAATGCACAGGAGGACAATATAATGTTCCTTGAAGAATTTTTCTTAGCCATCTCATTTTTACCCAGAAATACTGTATTTTACAGTTGTAATATCACACTGGTGGAGAGATGCTACAGTGAGTCATTGAAACTGTTTGGAAGTACAGAGCATTATGTAGTGGTGACGATTGATGAGCACACTGCTATAATTTTGCAGGTAAAGCTATGTAGTAAAAGTATAAACTCAAATATATTAAAATACATACAACTGTATAATTTGTTACCTTTCTATAGAGAGCTTATTAGTGATTTCTGCTGAATTTTGCAAATGGGCCACAAGTGCCAAAATTATCACTGTGGAAGGCAGCTATTATCAAACTTCTATGATGCCTTATAAATTTTTAACATACTTTAAGAAGACAAGGTAAATACAAATATTTAATAGTGTATATTGACCTATTTTAAAACAGTTATAGAATAATTTAGTGTAGGAAGCCTTAAAAATTGAATCCCATGAGCTTAAGATATAGCTCAGTGGTATACCATGTAGAGAGTCCTGGATTTGATCTCCTGCACCAGAAACAAAAAGAAACAAAAACAAGAGAGAGAGAGAGAGAGAGAGAGAGAGAGAGAGAGAGAGAGAGAGAGATTCTCTTCAAACTTATATATGGTTTGGAATTTGTGATGTATAAATTCTTGGCTGAATTTTCCTTATATGTTTGCTTTATTGGAGTACCAAGTACAAAGGAATTAATTTAATGGGGTAGGAGTGGGGAGCAGAAACCAGGTTTAATGGTACAGCGTATAAAATTTGGGCAAATAGAGTAAGATGCAGTCTGATTTGATGAGCAAAATTTACAATGTAAGAATTATATGATGGAATAACACAACTACTAGACTTTTAAGAAATACTGTGTCTTGCATATTTAAAGTTCTTAATTATTTTTCCACTTGATAAAACTGTTTTAATCCACAGTTATATAACTTATTGTTAGAGGAAGGACAATTTCCTGAATTACTCTATCAAAAAATACTTGTGTTAAAGGAAAAGGGGATTCCAGACCATTAGGTAGCGATTTCTAGGAGTCCATTAACTGCTGCTTTCTCATCTCCCTTAAGTAAGCATGCAGTGCAGGTGATTCTACAGGTTTTTAAACATTTTCTATTGCCTTTGGAATAACCAGATCCCAGTCCACAAAGGACATTGCCAAAATAGGGGTACTCTGTAGGCTGCTTTCTTCATATATCTGGGACCTGGGGAGACTCATGAGCCTTTCTTGCTAAAGCTGTCATTTGTTTTATTAGGTCTACTGTAGGTTTTCCCCTACTACCAGTAGTATAATTTTAATTTTTCCACAAAATGGGAGTCCATACCCATGCTTCTTCTTAAGTTACCATTTACATATTATAGATTCTTGAAATATAATAATTTTGCAACACTATCTAACCTAATGAATCTGTTCATTTTCTTTATTTTCTAATAGGACCTAGAAGAACTGAATTATGAAAAAGCATCAGACAATATCATTATGAGATTGATGGCATTATCATTTCAGTACAGCTATTGTTGGATAATATTTTACACCAAGGAAACATTAAATTCAGAGTAAGTAAACATTTCTTCGTCTAAATTCATGTTCTTATTTCTTGTTCATTTCTCTCCTTTGAATAGAAATAGTTATGCACATTTTCTCCTTGCCCATCTAGTTTGCTTTAAGTTAGGGATTCTTAATATGTAGGCATGCTAGGAAAGCAAATGAGAACTTAGATATGACACATATTCCCCTGGACATTCTGTGCTACTCATCCTCTCCTTCCCCATCTCACTAAGAATCACTGCTTTAAGTGTTTTATTACTTTGTAACTCTGGACTTGTCTGCTAGAAGATAAATCATTTTTAAATTACATCCTTCTAAATTTCATTAAATATATCTTATACTTTCTTTCATTGATGTGCTTAATTGGTGTACTCCACTGATGGAGTATCCTAGTTTGCAGGCTTTGGTCCATAAGGCTAATAAGGGGATGAATTAAATTTTTCTCCTCACCCCACACTTCCCCCCACTACATATCCTTAGCATTCCCTAGCTTTAACAGTACTGTTAAAGAATGGAGGTGAGTATGTTTTTTCAAAAGAGTACAGAATGCACAAAAAAGCATGAGTCTACCATACTAGGATTGTCTTAGCCGGTTTATTCTACTAATATTACAAAATGTGGAAAACAGTGAATTCTTAATAAAAACAGTCATATGTCAAGTGAGTAGATGCATGGTAATATAATTCTTCTTAGGTACTATCTTACAGAAAAGACACTTCATCATCTAGCACTGATTTATGCAGCTTTGGTTTCCTCTGGTCTTAAATCTGAAGAACTGGATGTAAAGGTATATTTTCCTGTATGTTTGTTCATAAGCACTTTTCACAAACCAAAATTATACTCACACTCAAGTGCCCAGTAGGAATAACATTAAATAAGCAAATTAAAAACTGTTTAAAAGTTAAATAAATAACAATTTCAAATTTATAAATACTTTTACCACTTTAACTTCTGTTTTAAAGGCTTTTGGGTTAGACTGGAGGTGTGGCTCAAGCAGCAGTGCCTTCTTTGCAAGTGCGAAGCCCTGAGTTCAAACACCAGTCCCACCAAAAAAAAAAAGCTTTTAGTTTAGTTAATTTAAAATCAAATCAAATTTTATATCTGAATTACTATTTATATTTTTCAAATACATGTCAGAATACAAATAAAAATATCCACTCATCAAAAAATTTCATTATGAAAAATGTACTAAATTTTTATCTGCTATGTAATAGAAATGTTATGACATATGAGTAAGGTAATATACATTGGTGGTCTCTCATCAGTCTCCTTTCTTGGCCCCTTTTTTCAGTGTCCTCTGAAATTTAGACATTTGTCTATATTCAGGCCTTAGCATTCATATCTGTTATCACTTCACATTCTTTCTTTTAAGAACTCGGCCATTCTCACAGCCTTAACTTTAATTTCTGAGTACAATACTTAATTTTTTTCCCTGATACTTCTTAATGTCTGTGCCTGTATTCTAGTAGTCAACTGGAAATCTCCACATAAATATCCCACAAATACTTCAAATCAGCATGTCCAACGTACAGTTCATTCTCCCTCCAGCTTAGTTTGTGGATCACTCTTTCAGTTTAATCAGTAGCTAAGTCCTCTTTTTAATTCTGCAGTATTTCTAGAATATGTCTCTCCTTCTACTCCCAGTGCTATTTCTCTATATTCAGGCCTCCATTGCCTCTCATTTGAATTTGTAAGTACTTTCCTAACTAATCACCATTTTTCTATTCTTCCCCACTCCATCATATATAAATAGCAATTACATTTCTGATGCACAGCTGTAAAAATTTCACTCCCTAGACTATCAGCTTCTGAAGAAGACATGTCTGTTCAGTGTCGTATGACTGGAACCTGGCACAGTGCCAAGTCTTGATGAGCATTTGCCCTAAGTTGAATTTTCTTGCTCAAAAACCTTCCATAGTTTCCTAATTCATTCAAAATATGGCTTAAACTCACCTGGATTCAAATTCCTCACAATTTGGCCCCCTGTTAATCCTTCCTTTAACATCATTTTACTCACCATTTCCTGCACATATTCCCCACATCAGCACCCCCCACCCACTGCATGAACATCATTCTGGCCTGCCTTCCCCTGGGAATGCTATTCTTCATGCCCTTACAGCTGCTTGTCAAGGTTCTTTCACACACAGCTCAAACACCATCTTCTTTTTTATTATTATTATTCATATGTGCATACAAGGCTTGGGTCATTTCTCCCCCCTGCCCCCACCCCCTCCCTTACCACCCACTCCGCCCCCTCCCCCTCCCCCCCTCCCCCCCTCGATACCTGGCAGAAACTATTTTGCCCTTATTTCTAATTTTGTTGTAGAGAGAGTATAAGCAATAATAGAAAGGAACAAGGGTTTTTGCTGGTTGAGATAAGGATAGCTATACAGGGAGTTGACTCACATTAATTTCCTGTGCGTGTGTGTTACCTTCTAGGTTCATTCTTTTTGATCCACCCTTTTCTCTAGTTCCTGGTCCCCTTTTCCTATTGGCCTCAGTTGCTTTTAAGGTATCTGGTTTAGTTTCTCTGCGTTAAGAGCAACAAATGCTAGCTAATTTTTTTAGGTGTCTTACCTATCCTCACCCCTCCCTTGTGTGCTCTCGCTTTTATCATGAAACACCATCTTCTTAAAGAAATTTGCCCCAGCCATACCCTCTCAGAATAAATCTCACTTACACTCCATGTCTTTATTATAGCATGAAGTGTTATTTATACGTCCTCTACCCTGAAAGGTAAGAAGTAGGTCCTTCAGAGGCAGCTAGCACAGTACTTAAATATATTTAACAAACATCTACTAAATAGAATTAAATCATAGCACAACTTGTTAATATCAACAAATGAACTGTTAGAAACAGAATTCCAGATAATTTTGATCTCATGATGCATGTTAAGCATAGGAATAAAAATTTTAGAAAAGTTAACAAAATAAACAAGTGGCAAATATAAATTTGTCTTTTATTCATTCAAGTGAGGCTTCACCCCTTAACTAGCATCTCTCAGTACATGGTAAAAATTGTATTACAGTAGAGTTTAGAAATTATTTATTCTTCTATACATAGGACATACCAGTAAATAGCATTGTACTCAGGTACAGTGACATGGTCCAGAGAGGGCATTTGGGAATACTGTCAAGGCACAATCCATCCCAAACAAAGGTCTGCTTCCACCTAGATGAAACTACCCAAATTTTTTTCAGGTTTTATGTAATAATCTAAAAAGTGGGTTAAGTTTTTCATGAACTTTGAGAAGCAACTATGGTCAGTTTGCTCTTATTCATAAGCCTTTTCTTGCCCTGAGTTGATGACATCATTATATTAAAAGAGGCTCCCTGGTCTCTTAAGAGGACATCAGTATGATGTCCTGTTTTCAGACATCTGAAGAGCTTACCCATAAAAGAAGAATCAGACAGTGTAAGTACATTTTCTTAAAAAAGAAAATGCTGCTCGTAGTGTCCTGTTAAATGTTACTCTAATTTTTAGAAAGTTCTATAAATTTCTTATGAATCCTCTTTGTAGAAAAAAGCATAAGTATACATATGCAAACTTTTGAAAATAATTTAAGAGTTTGAATTATTATCTTATTATCTTGAATCACCCAAGTCTAAGAATGAGCCCCAGAATTCCTGCCCTAATTAAGGTAATGCTCACTATCACAGTTATAAAAATATTCCTTTTAAAATAAAGTTTATATTTAAATGACAATGTCATATCTTCTCCAAACATCCAAACTCGAAGTAAAATATAATATTAAGTTGTGTATCTGTGCACTCTATGTATTTTTATAATTTAAAAGTCCTCTTTTAGAATATAGACTCTCCACGTATACACTAACAGTTCTATATTTGTTATTCTATGGAATAGAATATGATCATAATTATTTTCTAGATTTGTACTATGTGTGTGTGTATATGTCTGTTTTGCTGTGACCCAAGACCAGGGCCCTGGGCACACAAGGCAAACACTCTACCATGAAGCTGTGTTCCCAATCCCCTTGAACTTTTTCCTTAAATTTCCACTACAGTGTAGGATTTCTTTTTCTAAGATGGGGTCTTGCTGTGTTGTCCAGGCAGGCCTTGACTTGTGATCCTCCTGCCTCAGCTTCTCAAGTAGCTGGGATTTAGGTGTGTGGCACCACACCGCTGACAGGATTCTTACATTTCTAAGAGCTAATTACTTAGGGCAATGTGTTCTCTGTCCATGTTAAACTGTTAATCTATGAACTAGCTTTCCTTCAACTGAATATTTATGAAAGGTAATTAAAAAGAAAAAGATAAATAAAAGCAGAAAAAAGTTGACATTTATGAAGAGTGAAGGGCCCAGAGAAAAACAGTGGCCGGCAGGGAATAGATATTACAAAGTTCTTTTTTAATAGTTAAGTTTAATATTCACTCACACACACACACACACACACACAAAAACACACTCTCACACTCTTACTCACTCACTTGCACTCACACTCTCTCACACACTCTCACAGTGTTTCAGCAGGTGTATCTTAGGATAATATTAGATGAACAATTCCCAAAACACTGGAATGACTACTCCAAATTAAAATCTTAATTCTTTTCTTTGTGAACACAACATCAAATTTATTTATGAGTATCTTTTATTTTTATCTTTGTTTTTGAAAAATATTGACTATATTTTAAAATTATTTTTAGATGAGAGCTATTAGGTTTAACCTAGTTATTAAAAACCATAATTTTAAAATATTAACTAATACTGTAAAATAGTAAATATTAAATTTAATAAATATTAATGAATATTTGGTTTAAATACTATATATTTTAAAATATTTTATTAACAAATGAAAAGTAGAAGTGAAGAAAACAATTTAGTTCCAAAATTAGAAGATACCAGAATGTCATATTTAAAGAAAATTGGTTATCCTCACAAAATATTGTGGGTTTCACACAGATACAGTAATAAATTATATCTAAAATACTGTTAACCCACTGTTTTAAATTTCAAACTATTTTTGAATGCTGCATTTTAAAATCTAACATATGAAAATGTATATTTTAGCTTATCTTTACCCCAGGAGTCAAAGAGACTGCATTGATAATTCGTCAAATTGCTGACCACAATTTGATGACCTCGAAGAGAGATCCTCATGAATGGCTGAATAAGTCCTGGCTTGAAGTTTCACCGTCTAAGGTTTATTTTTCTAAATGTATAAATCAGATGTTTGCAAAGCAAAATATAAATATATGTATTTTAATTTCCTTTCTTTTTTTGTGGGGGAGATACTTTTCTTTGGGAGGTTTGAACTTAAGGCCTCACACTTGCTAGGCAGGTGCTCTTCTACTTTAGCCACACCCTCAGCCCTTTTTTGCTTTACTTATTTTTTGGAAGGCTCTTTTGTTTTTGTCCAGGGCTGACCACAGATTGCATTATCTTCCTACCTGTGGCTTTCCATATAGCTGGGATCATAGGCTTGCACCACCATGCCCACTTGCTTGGTGTTGGGGGCGTGTCTTAACTAATTTTTTGCCCAGGCTGGCCTCAAACTGTGATCCTCCTGATTAACACTTCCTTTTTTTTTTTTTCTTTTTCTTTTATTATTCATATGTGCATACAAGGCTTGGTTCATTTCTCCCCCCTGCCCCCACCCACTCCCGCCCCCTCCCTCTCCCCCCCCCCACCGCCTCAATACCCAGCAGAAACTATTTTGCCCTTGTTTCTAATTTTGTTGTAGAGAGAATATAAGCAATAACAGGGAGGGACAAGGGTTTTTGCTGGTTGAGATAAGGATAGCTTTACAGGGCATTGACTCACATTGATTTCCTGTGCATGGGTGTTACCTTCTAGGTTAATTCTTTTTGATCTGACCTTTTCTCTAGTACCTGTTTCCCCTTTTCCTATTGGCCTCAGTTGCTTTTAAGGTATCTGCTTTAGTTTCTCTGCGTTAAGGGCAACAAATGCTAGCTAGTTTTTTAGGTGTCTTACCTATCCTCACCCCTTCCTTGTGTGCTCTCGCTTTTATCATGTGCTCATAGTCCAATCCCCTTGTTGTGTTTGCCCTTGATCTAATGTCCACATATGAGGGAGAACATACGATTTTTAGTCTTTTGGGCCAGGCTAACCTCACTCAGAATGATGTTCTCCAATTCCATCCATTTACCAGCGAATGATAACATTTCATTCTTCTTCATGGCTGCATAAAATTCCACTGTGTATAGATACCACATTTTCTTAATCCATTCGTCGGTGGTGGGGCATCTTGGCTGTTTCCATAACTTGGCTATTGTGAATAGTGCCGCAATAAACATGGGTGTGCAGGTGCCTCTGGAGTAACCTGTTAACACTTCCTTAATAGCTGGGATTACAGGTTTGAAACACTGTGCCCATCTTATTTCCTTTCTGATAACATTTATTTTCCAGGTGCCCTAAATTAAGCAGAAGGTTAAAAGACAAAAATTTTAATTTGCTGGAATGAGTAAAGTAAAATGGATCACTTTCAAAAGACTTCTGGCTGATTATTCCTTAAACTTTTTTTTTTAGGAAGAAATGTACTTACTTGATTTTCCGTGTATTAACCCATTGGTGGCTCAGCTCATGTTAAGTAAAGTACCTTCACTGCATTGGTTATTATCTGCAACTCTGTGTCAACTTCAGGAAGTCCTACCTGAAGTTCCAGAAAAAGTGTTAAAGGTTAGTTAAGATCCATGCACTTACATGAGTTTACTTCCTTTCCATTTGAGTATCTATCCAACTTTGTTTTGGACTTCACATAGCAAAGAAATGATTTACTTGAACTAAGTTTCCCATAGAATTCTCATTAACTGTCAATCACATTTTACATTTTTAAGCTATTTTATATAGATAATTCAGTAAAGTTTATCATACTTTGAATCATTTTGAAATAATATTGTGCCCATAAATATTCAGTTATGTACCCTATTCACACGTGTTTACACTACCTCTTCCAAAATTCTGAGGTTCTTTCATTATAGCAGGTAAGAGAACTTAAGTCTTATTGGTAATATTTAAAAATTCTTATCAAGGAAATAGTATGCATGTATGTATAACCTGTGTGACTAGAAATTCTGTTGCATTTTCTGGGAACCTAAAACTGCTCTAAAAAATAAATTCTATTACAAATTCAATTATAAGTGATTAAAAATAGATGCAAATTATAAAAGTATTCCTTTTAATAGAGCCCAGATATTTTATTCCTAACACATGGATCAATATATTGTCTATGAATAGACTATTTATATGTTGCCTTCTTTCCACATAGATAAGCATCATTATCCATATGATATACTTTCTGTATGATAAGCATCATTTTTTTAACTAGGCTGATGTTTGTGTTGTATTGATTAATTTTTTAAATTTTTTTAGCATTTTTGTAGCATCACTTCCTTATTCAAGATTAGTTCTTCCTCCATAACAAAATCACCTCCAACTTCATCACCTCAGGAAGGTAGAAATCAAACTAGTGCCTTTACTTCTCAGAGTTCAGCTTCTGGTTCTTCAGACTCTGTCATTCAAGAACATAGTAGATACCACTCATATTCAGAATTAGAAGAAACAGTACAGGAAGACATAAATGCTACTTCAAACTATAACTCTTCTTTTATGGAACTAAGAGAAATGTCATGCATTTTACCACCTACAACATCCTGCACTAAGACCAGCTATTGGAAAAACTCCAGTTGTAGCCCTAACACGGTACAAAATAATCCTTTTCTGATTAATACAGACTCTAAGAAAGCTTTTGGCAATGCCTTTCCAGACCAAAATGATTCAGAGTCTGATGTCTTTTCTTTGGGTGTAACACAAATAAATTGTGACAAAAGAATATTACCCGATGACACTCAGAGGAGAATTATCCCTAATTTTATAAATTACCACGAAAAGGGACTCCCTCAAGCAAAAAGAACCACAAATAAAGAAGTGTCTGCCCCTATTTTTTCACTGGAAGGGTCTCAGTCTCCTCTTCATGGAAACTTTAAGAAAAATGTATGTGGAAGACAGAACCACTCATTTGACTTAAAATATGGAGCAGAGACTACCTATGACAAATGGTTCTCTCAAAAAGATAATGTACTTACTAATCAGCAAAAACGTCTATCTGATGAATTAGAAAGCTTCACGTGTGAAAGTTCAAGTGCTATGACTGAAAAGACTTTCCGGAGAAAATTGCCATCTGTTCCCAGTTTGGATTTATTCTGTACTTCTAATTCTGATGTAAATGAAGAATTCAACAGTCTTTACTTGTACCAAAGAGCTGGAAAACATTTAGGTCAGAAAAGGCACTCTGAATCTTCGTCTAACTCAGGAGACAAGGAATCATTGACAGGTAACACTTAATAGTCGAAAAAACTACTTTCAATTTTAATTTTAAAAGATAGAACCATCTCCAAATTTTAATAAAATTTCTGTTTTAATTATCACACTTAAAATTCTCCAGTAACTTTTGAGTCAAAGAGAAAAATCAGAACTTGTGGATTAAGAAAATAAATGCAAAGAATATATGTCAAATTGTATAGCTTTAAATGAACTAAGCATTCAGTTTAAGAATTTAAAAATAAAAAGCTGAGCAAATCTAAGCAGGAGATTAAATCAACAAAGATTAAACAGAAGAATCAGTGAATTAGACAATTAGACTCTGTGGGGTCCATATATTTCATTGGCTGTATTCATTAAGATGTTACAGCCAGGTGTGGTAACGCAGGTCTATAATTCCTGCTACTTGGGAGGTTAAAAATAGGATCTCATGCCTAGGACAGCCCTGGGCAAAAGTGTGAGACCTATCTGAAAACAAACTGAAAGCAAAAAGATTGGGCTAAATGCTTGCCCCAAGTGGAGAGGGGGAAAAGACTCCAGACACTATTCTAAGCCCTTTATGCAAATCATTAATGCTAACAATTCTATTACTATCTAATATCTAATTAGATAATACCATTATTAAATTCACTTTGATGTTTCTGGCTTGTCTGAACATTTTAGCATTATCAACTTTTAAAAAGGACACTTTTATACATTTTCTTTCTGTCATTTCTTATTTTCATGGCCACATAAATGTGGCCTTAACATGATGGAAAAGAGGTAGAGGGGTGGAAAAAGAGAGGAATTTAAATTTCAAAACTTCTCTTTTTCATGAGCCCTGAGAGAAACCCAGGAAAACTTGCTTTCTTTGTTTTATTAAAAGAGGGCCTCCCAAAGTGTCCATGCTCTGGAACTCACAAACTTGAATTTGTTCCCATTTAATAAATCATAACGTGTTTTGTTCCTGATTTTTATAGGAAATGTTCTATCCCTAGTTTTTTTCAGTATCTTTGGTGAGGAATAGATGCTGAACTGTATCCAAAGTCTCTTTAGTACATACCTATTGGGAAAAAAAAATCAGATGTGTTTTTTCCGTTGATCTATTGCTGTCAATAATTATAAGGTTACTAATATTAATACATTATGTAGTATAATATTACTAATATTAATATCATAGAATGTGTGCCAATTCTATGATAAACCTAATTGAATTTTAAGGTATGGTCCTTTTAATATGCTGTTAAATATGGTTTCTAATATTTATTAATGATTTTCATATCCATATTCATGAAATAAGTCTATTGTGCTCTTTATTTGTGCTCTGTCTTATTTTGTTGTAAAGGTTATGTTTGTTTCATAAATTAACTACTTAAAAAATTTCATCCTTTTTCTACTCTGCAACAAATTAAACATGTGAATTACTATATATGCATGAACACAGAGGACTCCTATGTATAACATGACTCTCCCATTTTCTCAATGGGAAGATCCCAGAAATTGTTTTTAAATTCTAACATTAAAGCTTTTAGGTTCATAGATGAAACAGTAAAATATATACCTTTATTTTAATTAATTTTGTTGTAAATAAATATTTTAAATCTCATATATAATGTTCATTTAGAAATAGTGCTAATTTCTAAATATTTCCATAAAGTAATTGTATTAATATATTTCACTTGAACCTTTAATGCTAGTATCTATACTCTCAGTATGGCAAATGTTGTCTTATTTACTGTGCTTTTCCATAGCACGTCACTATGTCCAAATTCACTGTTAAGATTTAACACTTTTCAAATTAATACTGGCACAGCCTTGGAATTTTTTCCAAAGCCATTGCCATGAACTTGAAATGATTTTCTGTTTGTCCTGTAGATTGTGTTTGTGATGTTTATGACATAGTTAATTACTATACTGCTTTTTAAACTTGCTTATAGTGGCATCCAGTTCTTGCAGTTATGAGATGATGTCCCTAGGAATGATTATAAAACTGTTTTTTTTTTTACTGAAAAAAATCAATCAGCCTCTGTAAGTATCTAAATCTAGGACATTTTAGGGTAATGTGTCATGTAATAAGGACATGTAAAGTGGCCCTCACCTCCTGTCATGCCTCAGGGCTTATAAATTCCACAACATTACAGGTATAGGATAAGGAGCAGACTTACTGAGAGAAAACTTGAAAGCAAAGAGTCTTTAAAATGGTATGTTAGAAACTGGAATGGAAGCTGGAAAAAAACTTCTAATACTATTTTTTAACATGGTGTTCTAACTTTTCTAATTAATCTGTTGTTGTAATTTTACTTTGTGTCAATAGTAGGAGTTTTATGCTATTGCAGGTTTTTTTCTTTTTTTTTTTTTTAATTTTGTTATTTCTAACATAACTACATTGTGGTCAGTTTGTGTTGAATTCCTTCCATTTATTCTTGATGACTCTTTATCATGCCACCTTGGCAAATATGTAGTGAACTTTTTTCATACTCTCCAAAATGCTAGCACTTTCTTCAAGAGTATTTTCATCTGTGAATCTATGAGGGATGCTTTGTGTTAGTTAACTTGGGATTTGTGGGTGCTTTCTATATTTGAATATATGGATATACATTTAGGAATAATATATAGATAACAATAGATGATAAATGAATGGGAATTACTAAGTTGGTACAAAAGATAAATTCATTTCATAGGAAAGTTTCCTGTCAAACATAGAAAAAGAAGTTTAAGTATTTTTACAAATATTAGACTTGGCTGTCAGGACTATTATTCAGAAAACAACTCGATTTTATCATGTTAATACTTGAAATCAGCCATGATAGGAGTCTGTATAACACAGAAACTGGCAGTCACTACAAATCAGGCCTTCCCTCCTCACCTGCCCTCCCTCCCCAATCTCACTCCAAGAGCTGGTTGCTAAACATTTACCAGCACACTCCTGGTGCCAGCACAGGCTCTCCCACAGCTTTACAGAGAGGAACCAGGGTCCTAGCATCATTAACACTGTGATTATTCGTATGTGTAAACATATTCCTTAATTGAAGCTAAAGATCTATTTTCCACACATGAATTTAGATTGATCTCTAAACACAGCATTTAGTGAATATGATCCCCCCATACTAAAGGCTATAGATGTTCATGAGAAGAATAGCCAAAGTGACAAAAGAACAGAAATGGGAAAAACAAAACAAAAAAGAAACTGACAGAAAGAATTGCATCACTTTCACAACACAGACTGAAGGTATACAGATACCAGGGAATATGTCTTTGATTGAGGTTCAGAGTCAATCAGTGAGCCTCTAACTTGTATTCTAATCTATGAGGATGCATTGGAAACCTTCAGGAGCCAGGAAGCCCTGCCTGAGTTGATTCCTAAATCATTTCAGAAAAAATACTAAACCAGGAGAGACCTTAAAGATCATATAGTATAATTCCTCAGAAGAGGAAATTGAAAATCCAGGGAGATTTAACTATTTGCACAAGGTATGTGCATACTAATTTTTAGTACTAGACCAGTAGCTATAGGTATATTTATGTTAAGATGTGATTATTAATATTTATTTATCCCAGTTTGGAAATTGTAATAGTATATGTGGATGACAAAGAGACAGTGACCACTTTAGTAGCTGGGGAAAAAAGCTACACTTTATTATTATATGCAGTAAATGTATTTCATTTTTCTCCTTTTAACAGGTTTAACATACTCACAATTACCACTACTCAAAAAACGACGTCTAATGTATGAAAAAGTCCCTGGACGAGGTGATGGACAAACTCGGCTAAGGTTTTTTTGAAAGGGGGAAGAACAGTGTTACATGCCATATTCTACTGCTTTTCATAATAATCCAGTAGCAAAATTATCTAGATTTGCTTATATATTAAAGAAAATACCATTATTTTTAGATGTTCTCAGTGTTTCTATAATTAAAATTTCATAATAAATATTCAGTTTTAAAGCTGGCATCTTTATAAGTAAAATATTTTGATTTATCAATTAGCATAATAATATTACATCCAAAATGTCTTCCAGATTAACCTAAACATCACAAGCCTTTCAATGAATACCTATCACAGTCTTGCCTTTTGAGTCAAGAAGTTGGTATCACCACAGTCAATCCTCTGACATCCAAAACTAGGGCAAAATTGGTTAGAGAAACTTACAATTTTAGTGTAGTCTTCTGTAAACAAAATTTAGAGACAAATGACTAAGAGGAAATGTTTGTAACCCAAATTATAAGAAAAGGATTTGCATTCCCAATACACAAAGAATTCCTACAAATTAGGCAGGTGAAGAGGCTCAAGCAGCAGAGCACCTGCCTAGCAACCACAAAGTCCTGAGTTCAAACCCCAGTACCACCAAAAAAAATGCCTATAAATTGATAGCAAAAGGCAACCTAATAGAAAAATAGGCAAAGTATATTAATAGATATTTCTCAGGAAAAATACAAAAATAGCCAATAAACATATGAAACAGTATACAGTTTCATTCTCTGTTAGACAAATGCAAATTAAAACACTAAGTTACTGTTTTACCTACCATATTTGCAAAATTTCGAAAATTCAAAAATATCCAGGGTCAGTATATTGGAGAAAAGAACACTTTATTTTATTATATATAAAACTTTTTAAAGCCCAGTTTGTGTTACACCAAGATAAAAAATGCACGTATATTTTGACTCAGGAGTTAAAATTTCTAGGAATCTGTCTTAAAGAAGTGTTCGATTATAAAATGAGGTCTATTTTAAGCACAATTAATAATAGGTAAAAATTATAGACAACAAAAATGCTATCAGGAGGGGAGCTACAGAATACCATGAAACCATTATGAAGAAAATCTGTGTGCTCTGACAAGGAAAGGTGTCTATAATATAAAGAGTGAAAAATGAAAAAAAAACAACAGAAAGCATTGTAATTACATTTCTTTGCTTTTTTCAAAAAGAAATCTTTGAAACTTTGAATTTTTTCCAAAAAGACAGATATATTAGGGAACAATTTGAGCATAGATGAATTTCACATTTTCTGATACATGATTTTGTTCACAAGAAAAACTAGGGGAACTCAAAAATTGTCCCCAACTAAAATGAGCCAGGAAGAAATACACAAAACACAAACATGTCATAAAGTCAGTGAGCCACTTCTAACCCAGCTCAGTGCCACATCTGGTGCTTCCACTTTCTGACTAGATAACCCTTTTCCCACCACCTCACAGTTAACTCACAAGTTACAACTTGGCCTCGAAGTCTGCACCCTCCTCTTTCTTTAATCACCCTCCTTTTCTCTCAGTTCTCTGCTGTTTTCTCTGTCTCTATTCTCTAACTGCTATCTCTTGAATTCTTCGCCTTGAGCAGAAGGGATCATAGCATGGTAGCTGGGCAGGCTGGCCAGTGGGAGACTGAGGCCTAGAGGTCCACCAGCAAATTTCAGGTCTTCTTCAAAACAAAGAGTCATATTTATTATAGTACAATGTAGTATAGTATAGTATAGTATATATACTGGAGTTTGAACTCAGAGCCTCATACTTACTTAAGCAGATACTCTACCACTTGTGCCATTCTGCCAGCCCAAGCTTTTGGTTTTTTGAGATAGATTCTCACTGTGTAGCCTAGGCTGGTCTCAAAATCATAATCCTCCTGCTTCTGCCTCCTTAGTGTGTGTGTGTGTGTGTGTGTGTGTGTGTGTTTGTGCGCGTGCACGCGTGTGCGCGCCACCATCCCCGGCTTCCATGCATTTTTTATAGTATTGTGAAAGTGGAAATGGTATATAGTTTCCATTTCCATTTTTAACCAGCTACTGCCAGTGTAGAAAATGTTTCTTATTTATACATACATATTTTGTATACAGCCAGCCTCCCAATATCTATTACAAATTCAAGTATTTTATAAACATAAATACACATAATATTTCATCTAAAATGTTTAAGCCATTCCATCTTCTTATCTTACTATATTACCTAAGACTTCCAAAGTAATGGTGATACATAGTGGTGATTAAAAATACCTTTGTCTTATTTCTGATATGCACAGTGTTTCAGTGTTTCACCATGTAGTACATCTGCTGTTGATTTTGATAAATTGTCTTTAATTTCTTTTTGCTATTTCATCAATCCACTTAGTTTTTATTCAGAATATTGAATTTTATCAAATAACTTTCTAGTACATTCATGTAATGAATTACATTGACATGTTAAATTAGCTTTGCCAGGTGCTATTTTCTCTTGATACACTACTGAATTTGATTTGCTTATATCTAGGACATTTACATCTGTATTCGAAATGAGATGTCTTTAGTTTCCCTAAACTATCTTACCCTGTTTTTGCTGAAGGGAAAAGTATAATCAAGAGAGAATTTTGTTTTTAATACAAATTTTGAAACATGATTATTATAAAGATGAGACATGCTTAAATGCTGATAGAAAGAATGAAATAGGTAGTTGAAGATAAAGCACAGGAAAGAAAATTGGTAGTATGAAATTTCAGAGAAGATAAAACATCCAGAGGAAAAACAAAGGGGGTGGAAAAAGAATATGTGAATTATGATTGGACAGAAGGTATCCAGAAGTTTAGTGGCTTCTAAGGGAAGGGAGAACCCCATCTGATGACTTCTGTTTTCTCTACTGTAACAAATATCTTTGACCTATGCTCAAAGATATTTCTTAATATTTGTGGGTTTATACATAGCTGTTTCAAAGAGCAGATGTTGCTAGTAATTGAGATATTTTTACATGTTATACACCTATCTGCTTTTCAGGACACTTTACAAAATTGTACAAAGACTTAACCACGATTTCACATTCCACTTCCAGCACTGAACACCACAAATAGAAATCCATGAAACCTTAAAAAACAAAATCAGACACAAAATATTGCTGTCATAGAAAATGATGAATTAGACAGAAATTTATTTCCAAGCTCTTCAACGATTATTGCAAACACAAATAAAGTATCCTCCTAAAACTGTCCCAAATTAAATCAAAGGCACATCATCCAAGTAAAATACTTGTGACATGAAGAATTCTTTTAGGTTGTAACATTTTCACATTACTTTGTTTTTAACCATTTGCAATGTTCTATATGTAGGTCACATTTTAAACATTCCTTAAAGATATAAAATAATGTAGTTGTCTAAAGATACAACCATGACTATAAAGTAAAGGAACTTAGGGGAAAAAAGATCAAACCTGCTTCATACACAAGATGGGGCAACCTAATACACAACATAACATTTTTTCAAACAAGTTTGCAAAGAAACATCTCCCCTACTTAATGTTAAAAATAAAACAAGTGAGAGTCTCATTTAAAAATTTAAAAATGAGAATCTTCTCATGTAAAAAATCAAGACATCATTTGATTAGTAAGCCTGTTCTTCTCCCCTAATTTTAGCTTTTCATGTTCTCATTTAATAGTTGTAAATTCATGAGAAAAGAACAACTTTTATTATAATACAAAAATCTTAGGAACAAGTTACAAATACTCATTTTTCAATAAACAAAAATGTTTTCCTTCCTAAAATGTAAACATCCAGTAAATAAAACCTACATGATAGTTCAGGTTTAACACCACCAGTAAACCACTCATAAAAGAGGTGTATTTTGGTATGTTTGGTAGTAAGGTTCTTTGTCTTAATAAAAAGCACTTCAGCAAAAAGAACTAGGCCATTATTATTTAAAACTATACTCCTTCACTTTGTTTCCTTGTTTAAGTAGAAAACCATTAATTCTGTAGAATGTTGGCTATAGGACCAGGCCACAGAAAAAGTGTGAAATGTCTAATAGTCATTTGGCTAGAGAAAAGTGTTTTCTTGAAACTTGGAGGCAGTCATTCATCACTTTGTGCTTGAAGGCATTCCTCACCGAACTTCCTCCCTACTGGAAAGAGAGTATGGTTGGTTTTCACATTGTAAGATTTATTCACAAAAGTAACTATTCATTAATTCATAAGCCACTTGTTATTCACACAGTAGAAAGTAACATTAATACCATAAAACATCCAAACAAAGGGGCAATGCTTTGTAAAAAAGAAAAATGCTGGAGTGGAGGCATGGCACAAGTGGTAGAGCACCTGCTTACTAAATGGGAGGCCCTGAGTTCAAGGGCTGTGGCTCCCCAAAAGAAAAGTACTATGCCAACATAAGACTATTATTTTAATACCTTAAATATATATACATTTTCCATTAACATGTACAACTGTACCTGGTAACAGAATTACTGCCTTCTTTTAAATGGGAACAATTTCCTTTTAAAAATATGTGAAAAAAGACCTAAGTAATCATCTTAAAAAAAAACACCTAATTTGAAATATGTTGGTCCCAAAACACTCTAACAATCTATAACCTTCTCCTCTTAAAAATAATAGCAGAAATATGAATAAGTCCTCAATATAAAATAGACTCATGACATTTCTAGTATGTCACCAGAAAAGGTGTTTTCATTTGTTATCAACTGTTAAATCTTTTTTTTAACTATTCACACCTTTCCCCAGTAGCTACATTTCTTCTTCCATTAAAACAAAGAAATATATTCTGAAAGCCATAGCTCTCATAGGCACAAGTGCATATCTCTGTAGAGTCCTTAGCTCAAGAGGCTGGTAACACAAAGCAACATATCACAACCTTGAGATGGTGAAAGGACAGAGAATGGGATTAAGGTCAAGAAATTACTACTAGTCTACTCATTACCTGACTATCAGCTCATCCGCACCAAAGATAACTGAGCTTCTACTAACTACCCTTCAAGGAAAGTTGTGCATTTTGCTAGTCTTTTAATTTAATTCCCCCAACAATAGTAGATATTCAACCTCAACTGCCCAAATCCTTTGGGAAACCCTGTGATAATGCCATGGCCCCAAGACAGCATGACATAGCACTACTCACCAGTCTTCAGAGTAGAGCACATGGTCTGTGGTCCCGGAAGGGATTGCTTCCAGCTGGAACACCAACCAGCAGGGCATCCTTGCAGGCGTTCTGAATGCAGTACTGCTGAAGCTCTGCAGCTGCCTGCGAGACCTGAAACAAAAGCACAACATATGACACACTGCTCACAGACAGATCTGGCCAGTAGTCATCTGATACCCTGAAAAACGATTATACAACCTGATAAAGGTTACACTTTTTGCAACATCCAAGTCTCTTTTATGCAGACTCTAATACCTGAATTCCAAAGAGGAAAGGCTATAATTTCTGATTGAACTTAGGATATTCTTGGCTTATTAGTTGTTTACAAAGGTAAGAAAGAGCTGTGTCTTTAATGCATTTAGAATCCTAGTTTTGAGACTGAACTAATAAAGAAATAGCTCATTCTCTATGAGAATGATTGATATAAAGTATGCAATGATATATCCAAATTTGCCATGTAAACAAACTGCTTTAATGTTTACAAGGTTGGAGTCTTACCCAGTCTGCTCCAAACAGGTGATAAAGTTCTTCCACCATGCCTATGAAATAATATAGTGTATTGGTTAAGAATGCAGTCTCCAGGGCTGGAGGTGTGGCTCGGTGGCAGAGTCACATGCCTAGCATGTGTGAAGTCCTAGATTCTACTCCCAATACCAAAGAAAAATAATAATACAGTCTCTAGAACAGGACTGCCCGGACTCAAATCCAGCTGTCACTATCCATAGAACCTTGGCCATGTTGCTTCTTACTACTTATTTCTCACCTGTGAAATGTTTTTAGTAATGGTATCTACCAGCTTGGGTCAATATGCCAAAGAGAGTGAGTTAACACAAAGTTCTTTGAATACTAACTCATAATTAGCAATACATTTGTTGCAAATTGCAAACATGGTCACAATTATTTTGCAGTTTTTTTCCACCAAGAGGTGAAACCTAGGCTGGTTTTGTGACTTGCTTTAACCAATAGAAAGTAGCAGAAGTATGGGCAAGTTCCTAATATAGACAAATTCTCAAAAATTTTTGTAGCAACCTCTTTTGTGACAGTTGGAACTCTAAGACCACCACCATCTTGAATGAACCCAACCTAACCTATTGGAGGTCTCATGGAAGAGAACCAGCCAGCCAATCCCAGGCACTCACCTACCAACCTCAGGACAGTGAATGAGGCTCCCTAGATCATGTATTAGACACCAGCCAAGCCTTCATCTAATTGCAGATGTACAAGAAAACCCAGCAAAGATAAGCAGAACTGTACATTTGAACCTAGCTCAAATTGTCGACCCAAGAATGTGACTTAAATGTTTTAAACTACCTAAGTTTTCAAGTGGCAGCAAAAACTGATGCCTTTTCCTTACCTTCTACTTGATGCATATTTCTTCTTGAAAGCTTTCTTCTCTATTTTTCTTGAAGTAAAAAGGTGTTTTGTATAAACTCACCCATACTGTACAAAAATGGCTCAAATTACTCTTCAAATATTACCTGTGTTAATTTTCCAAGCCCCCAAATAAGTGAAATATTAACTGCTGCTATGGCTTAGATATGATTTGAGTGTGTCCCTCAAGGATTCATGTGTTGAAATTTAATCCTTATTGTGAGGAATTAAAAGGATAGAAACTTAATCCAACTATTGTGCTTAGAGGTATAGCCTTTGGGAGGTGTTTAGGAGTAGATAATGTCATCAGGGCGGGGCCTCATGACTGAATACTGGAGTCTTTATAGGAAGAGGGGGAGAGACCAGAAGACACACATACACACACACACACACACACACACACATGCTTGTCTCCTTCCATGTTGTACCCTGTGCCACCTTGGGAAGCTGCCGGCAAGAGGGCCATCACCAATAACGGCCCCTAGACCTTGGATCCTCTAGAACCATGGGCCAAAATAAACCTACCCAGTCTGTGGTATTCAGCTATTAGCAAGAAAAAACAGACTTAATTTAACTGCTTATGTTGCAGTTGCTACCAAGTTTCTGAAATGCCTTAGAAATTTTGGGTTTACTAATGTAAAAATAGTTTAGTTTGTAATATATAAACACATACGGACTAATGTTTAAGGTTATTGTCCCTCAACAGGAATGCTGATATTTTCATATTAATCATGATTAGTGTTTTTATGTTATTTTAAAAGAAATTGAGAACCAATCATGCTTACTATTTCTGCATCAAGAGACTAGGTGAAGTGGAACTCCACACATGGTTGGATAGGAGACTATTTCCCAGGACACCTGGAGAAATGGGACTAAGTGGACCCTAGCCTAAAGATCATGGCCAAAAAGTCAAGGGCATATGTAGAGAAAACAGGAGTGGTCAGCATCTCTCTAGCAATATCAAGGGAGAGAAATTCTGGGTGGGGACAGACTGCCCGAACACCTGTAAGCTGTCCCCTGCCATGGAGGGAGGGGATTGTCTGACTCTGGGCTTGAGCCCAGGCTGCTCCAGAGGAGCCCTTGAAGGACAACAAGCATTCCAGTCAGTGGGAACGGATGTACTCTGTCATATACTAGAGAATTGGTGCTTAGTTTACTGACTTGATAGCAGGTCTGTCAAAGAGATGACATGTCTGGGTGTGCTAAGAATATCTGATGTTGAGCCCTGAAATGAGGTCGACCAGATTCTAGAATGTCGTGACTCCCTAAAGTGCTGCCTAAGAGAAGCCTGGCCAAGCACCATAGACCACACTACCATGAGTACACCACTTAAGCAAGCTTGTTATCTTACTGTTAAGTGCACTTGTTGAGACATTGTGCGTTTCACTTGAATTCCCTGGGTCTGGATCATCATTCACAATTATTTTCTAAGTATAGATATGATTATCTCCCCTAGCTACTTCACAGGGGAGGCAGGCATTTGAGTCCATTTTCCTTTCGACCTAGGTCTGCTGGGTCTTGAACATTTTTAACAACTGTAGTTTCAGTTCCCAACTTCCCCTCCTCAAACAACCCCCTCAATACAATCTGTACCTGCTCCACTTATGAAAGTATACAGTCCAGTACTGAACTCCAGACCACAACCTCTCCAACTCATCCAGGGTGATTCCTTTGTTCTCTTGCTCTTTGATGTCAGTGGGACAACAAAGCCATCACCTCAACTTTCGTTCCCTGTCACCAGAAGGCTGACTCTCTCTCTCTATCCAGTCCGGGTTCAGTCTCTTTCTGGCCATTCAAGCTCCTTGGCCTCTGACCCCATCCATCTTTCTGGCATACTTCTGCTCACCCACTACTCAGACCAACACCATCTACCTTACACACACACACACACACACACAGGACAATCTCAAGCAACTGGGCCTTCAGAGTCAAACACAATGTATCTGTCTATGGATGTGACTTCTCAGAGGGGCCTCCATTCCAACAGCCCTGCCCTCCCCCGGACACACACTTTCTACGCTAAGGCTCCACTAGTTCCCTTTCCCTTGTCCTAGCACACTTCACAAAGAAAATGTCACCACAGTTCATACTGAGAAACCTGTCTTTCCACATATCCCTGCCTCCTTCCTTCCTGATGCAGACGTGCCCTGCAATCCCATGCCCCACAGACTGCATGGTTACTTCTCCATTTGTTTCTTCCTCTTGACCTAAAAATATGTTCCTTCCTCTCAACTCCAAAATACATTTCCTAAATTAAAAAAAAGCTAGTTCCTCTTTAAAACTAGAGTTTTAAAAATCTGCGGAGTGTCTTCCAGTCCAGATTCTGCTTCTACTGTGACAGGTCCCTGAAACTCCTCAGTCCTAACTCTATGCCGTTACCTTGTGTTATAATAGTCACACCACTTATGTGCACTTTATTAACTTATCTTCCCCCATTAGAATCACCCTATCCCCTAGAACAGTGGGTACAGAGGAAAGGCACTCCTGAAGAAACAGACCATCAATGCACCTGCACACGCAGTCCACATATCCAGTGAGGCAAAACCAATGCCAACACTTGCTCACGGACCCTCCGCCAGAGGACTAGAACACGACGGGTCGGCCTCGGAGTTTAAAGCTCCCTCCTTCCTCGCCTTCTCCCGCTTCCTCTCCATCTGTTCCTCCGGGCCATCTGTTTCTGACTGGTGTCCTACGTGCAATGGGCCCCGCCTTTTCACACCCATCTGCCGCGTGCTCCAGGCTTCTGTCCATACAGCCCAGGGCCTCTCGGGAACGCCCACCAGCCCACAGATCCTAAACGGGGCTCAGTTCCCATCTCCCCCTTAGCATGGCAGCGCCATCCGTGCTGTCGCCGCGCAGAAACCTGCGCGTCCCTCCTCTCCCCCTCGCTCTCGTCCCATCCATCCATCCATCCATCCACCACCAGGGCTGTCCACTCAGCGGCCTCCCCGGCTCTGCTCCCCACCCTCCCGCACCGGCCGACTCCAGGCCGCCAGGACGCCGCCTGGGTTCCTGGTCCCCTCCGAGTCGCTGTCCACGCCGCAGCCCCCAGGGCGAGCCTCCGGGCGAGGGACGAGGGAACGCCCCTGGGGCCCTGGGAGCCGGCCACGCCCGCGGGGCCGCTTCGCCGGGCCTCCTCGGACGCCTGGGTCCGGCTGGGCCCCCCCAACCCCCGCCGCCCGCCTGGCCCTCGGACCCGGGTCCGCGAGCCGGGGCGGCCGTCACCTTGATGCGCTCCACGCCGGCCTCCAGCTTGAGCTGCTCCACCAGGCGCTGCAGGGCGCTCACGCTGGCCCCGGAAGACATGGCGGCGGCGCTGGCTCCCAGGGCGGCTGAGCTCGGCCGGGCTGGGCGGAACCGCCGGGCGCCGCCCCGCTCCCGCCACCCCCCTCCCCCTTCCCGCCGCCCGCCTCCTGCCTCCCCCTTCCCGCCGCCCGCCTCCTGCCTCCCCCTTCCCGCCGCCCGCTAGGCCCGCCCGGCCGTCCGCAGGACGCAGTGCGGCTGCGCGGCCGACAGGCGGCGCCTTGCCTCTCCCCGCGCTGCGCAGCCCGGAGGACCAGAGGCGGCGACCGCTGCGCCCAGAGGACGTGAGGACGGCTGTGGGATCCCACGAAACAGACGCGTGCCAACTTACGAACCTGTCTCTGTGTCACGGAAATCCTACCAGCTATCTGTGGGGTGAGGAAGGTACAGTCCCAGCCTTCTTCCCACGCACCGCTTAAGGTGACCATTCTCCTGCGTTTGGTTTGGTTTGGGGTTTGGAGTTTTTGAGGAGGGGGTGTTTCGCTATGTAGCCCAGGTTGACCTCCAACTCGCCATGCTTCTGCCTCAGCCACCTGAGTGCTGGGATTACAGATGTGCACCGCCTGGCTCAGCATTTCTTTCTTTCCTTCCTTCCCCCTTCTTTCCTGCCTCCCTCCCTACCTCTCATCGCGCACCTTGGTTTTACAAATCTGGGTTCATAAGCTAGGCATGTGGTGCCCGCCTGGAATCCCAGCATTCAGGTGGCCGAGGCAGGAAAATGGTGAGTTCGAGGCCAGCCTGTGCACATAGCGAGACTGATTCAGACCCCCCCCAAAAGAACTGAGATCATTACTGTATGTAAACTTTTGGGGTTTTCCCCTTAACGACTGTGTCATTACTTTTGTACACCATTGTATTTTTCAGAACCCTCTTAAATTGAGGAATGCAAAAAAGGAAATCTATTGGCTTCTGTAACTGAAAAGTCCAGGGACTTAACTAGTGGTCCGTTTATCTAAACAATAGCCTAGAGGCTCATTTCTATCTCTGGCTCTGCTCTCTCTGAGTGTGGCCTCAGTTTCTCCAGTGGTAGCTTGACTCTCAGTAGTGTGGTGAAGAAGAGCACCATACTGTCATTGTCCTGGTCTAGCTATCTCAAGAGAACCAGCAAAAATCCCCGTCATGGATGTCCCTGACTTGAGTCTTGGGCCTAGTCCCGAACAACTACTACTTAAGTCAAAGGATTTGTTGGAATGCTCAGATCAGTGCAAGGCCAAGAGCAGGAGCAGGGCTCCCATCAGCACCACCCCTAGGGGGCACTGAGCTGTGTCACCCACATTCCCCCTGGGGACTGAGCCACCCACAACCCCAGCTGCTGGGGGTGGTGGCACCTGAGGACTCTTGGTGAGTCCTCTCTGTGAGCTGCACCTAGCTAAGGTCACACCCTCCCGGTATCAGCCCTCATCCAGTGATTGATGTAGAGAGTGTATACAGGAAGTCCTGAACCCCAAGCCCTGGTCTCAAGTTGGGGCAGCATTGAAAGATGGATCTTCCCAGCTCTGGGGCTGCTGCTGGGATCATGGGAGATTTGGTTTTGGTTTGTTTTGGTTTTGTGTGCGTGCTAGGCACGTCTGTGCTACCACTAACCTTATATCCCCAGACCTCCTTTGAGGTCTTTATGGCAACCATACCACAGGTCACCTCCTCCCTCAGCCAGTGCCCACTTCCTGCACTCCCCTACAAGCAATGATTTTAACAATGTGCCTCCAATGAACTTTGACATGGAAACCTCCATTTCAAGGAACTTTTGCTCATGCAATTTTAAAATGCTGTGTTTCCACTGACATACGGGGTCGATAGTATGTTATGATGCCTCTATTTTTTTAAAAGGAGTGAAACAGTCTGTCCTTAAGCCAGCATGGGACAGAGTCGTGACACTGAGGCCCAACCCTGGAAAGCACTCACCTACCACCACTATCTTGGGCACTTCTCCATGAGCCTTTATTGTTAAATGTGACCCTGCCAGCCCTGCTCACCTTCTCTCCTCCCCCATCCCCAATCCAACTTGGGCCAACTCCAATTGAGAAGGCATCCAGGGGAGCTTTTCTACTTCTTCCTGGCTTTTTGTTGGGGCTTTTTATTTTGTGGTATTTTTTGTTTGGGTTTGGGAGGCATTTTCTTCTCTATGTGCTGTTTTCAATAGCAGACTACATATAAGCACAAGGTTTTAATATATTTGCACAAGACATCTTTACATAGGTATTTAATGGGCCAGCATAAAAATTTAATGCTCTTTTTACTGCTTTTATTCAGTTTTGAAGTATGAATGTGTTAGGACAGAGAATGTTTGTTAGTGTAGGCAAGACCCTAAAGACTTGTCAGAAAAATTAAGCTTCTAGTTGCCTTCTCATGTTTCATGCAAAATGTCTGTGGTCATCTCGGGCGTGGGGAACAATATGTTTGCTAAACAGGGCTTTCCTCCATTGCTGTGCACTTGGTACTTGGACTTGGACTTGGACTTCCAGCATGCTCATCAGGAGGAAGAAAGACCTGTAGGAGTTAAAAAGAAAGTTTGTAAATATCTCAGTGCTTACTTTTAGTCCTTGTATGTTGTGAAAGTACATGGTGTATAGTTTAGTGCAAAACGAAACCATTTCATTTCAATGTTATTTTAAAAAGGTTTGTTTTATTAGGAAGTAAATATGTTGCTGCAGTGTTTTGTGCCTGTTTAAAAGCTTTTGTTTAGCAGAATGAATGTAAAATACAGTAAAATGTTAAGATTGTCATCTATTTTATGAAATACGCCAATTTGGATTTTTTTTAAAGGCTCTATCAAGGAAGTGAGGTGTGCAATAAGGTGGCAAACACAGCTGTGTTTTTATGTCATCAAGATCCATCAACTCTTTCCACTCACTGGAGTTTTGTGGATGGCTGAATTCTTATTGGTGGATTCATAACAGGACCACGCCCTTAGCAAACACTTTTAGGTTTTTTTTTTTTAATGAAGAGATTGCAATGTCTTCTTTCCCCTCATCTTAATGGGATGAGCTTTTAGATACAAGGAATATTTTTTAACTATTCCATAAAATTACTGAGTGCCTGCTAAAACCTTTAAGCATTCCTGATGTTCCTTTCCACTGTTCTTATGTGACAGTAAGTAGTTGTGCGATGTTTCTGATGACATACCCAGCAAGCTGCATCCACATGCAAATGTGCTGGACCAAGAAAGGCAACACAAAGTAGTTTGGGTCAGATCCTCATCCCTTGATCTGTGTGAAAGAAGTCTTCTCCATCCAGCAAAGGATTGTTCCAGAGGTTCGCTGGATGAAACTCTGACCAAGTGTTCTTACTGTATTTTACATGTGCCTATAAAATATTTGAAAGAAAAAAAAAAAGCACTGTCTTAGCATGGCGACTACCAAACTACCTTAAAAACGAATGTTGGTAGTACCCAGTAAAGTATCAGTGAGTCTCCTGTTCTGTTGTTTCAAAACCAAGTTTATAACCTGAAATGTGAACCTTTTTTTTTTTTTTTTAGGGCTAAGAACAAACTATATAAATGTTTAAAAAAAGTTTTAGAATATTGTTTTCTAACATTCTAGTGATGTTGTTATCTTTAGTTGTTTTGTATTTGAAAGCTATTTAGATCTTTCTCCATTTACAGTACATTCTTAGGATGTACACAGTAAATAAAGCTTTCTTTTAAAGCAATTTCTAGACAAAAAAAAAAAAAAAGGAACTTTTTCTCTGGGAAGCCCAAACCAAGATACCCAAAGCACATGGACTGGCAGGGAGGTAGTAGGCTGTGTGTGGAGTTGTTGCAGGAGGGCTCAGAGACGGAGAGGGCACCAAAAGCTTTCAGGAAGCAAGTTTAGTAAGCAAGCTGGCAGCGACTCAGCAGACTAATCCAAAGGTTGAACCCCAAGAACAAAGGGGGCCTTCCTTATATACCATTTAGAGCAGGTTACAGAAATGGGGGGAGGGTACAGGTTGTCCCATACATAATCACATGTCATTGCATTGACAGCTGTAACCTCTGAGTCAAGGTGACCTTTCTCTGGTCTCCAGGTAACATTCCCAAACTCCAGTTTGTCTTTGTTTCACTGTAGCATTCATCATCCCCCTTCCCCCTCCCTGCCTTCCTGCCTCATTCTCCCCTCTGATGCTCTGACCCACCTTTGGGTCAAAGAGCATCACCTGGATCTAGGGGTTTATATTTCCATGGCACCATTACATAAGCAGCTGTCTTTCTTCCTATAGTGGCTTCCATAATGGTCCTGAAGGTCTGCAGTACCAGGAGGACCAGGCAGGGTAACAGCAAGCATGGTCCTTAGACAAGGAATGGTGCCCCTGTTAAGGTGTTGAACCCACCTAGGGTTGAGAACCAGCCCCAAACAGGTTATTGGGACTCCATCCCTTCCGGGTCTGCACAGGGACATGGGCATGCTTTGTCATCTTGTCAGTAATCTCTTCAGTTACCTTTCCCTCATCATCAATCTGTTAACAGCAGTTACTCAGATTGAACTTTCTACACACTCCATCCTCTGAGGCTGCAAATAATGCAAAGCCAAACAGTTTTGGTTCGTGGTGGTGTATATTTTAGTTTGCTGTTTGGCTAATATGTTGAGGGCTTTAGCTGTTTCATTAATTACAATTTCAACCACTACCTGAAGCCGAATGATGCAGTTGAGTGTATAGATTGGGGTGCAGTAGCCCCAGGAGCCCATCTTCTTCCCATGTAATGGGACCATAACATTGAATGATCCGCTCTGGAGGCCGTTCATCGTCCTTCCAGTCCCCTGTTTACAAGGCATCTCACTTTTCCTGTTTATCCTTTCTTCATATATGGAGGCTCCTAATTTTTCACCTTGTCTGAGGGGGAGTAAGAAGAAAGAAGGCTGGAGGGTGCCCTGCAGAGGATCTGAAGCAGTTATTGGGACGGAATCTCATTCCCCACAGATCCCGTGTAGCCCTAGGCGCCTGCCATGCTAAGCCTGTGGTTATTCAGCCAGTGGGTGAGGTGGGGGCCCCGTGTGATTGGGAGCCCCCCACCACTGAGTCTCCTGAGTAGCATCATTGTAAAACTTTTGTCCCAAACAGATCAAG